GTTATAAGGGGAAAGGTCCACTGACAGAAATTGACTCCGAAATTCTGTCGAGTTCGCTTAACCCTAGGTTAACATATAAAACTTTAAAACAAACTTCGGCCAACAGTTTGTTTATAAACTTGGAAATGGTTTTTTGAAATCTTGTCCGGATCAACGAAAATTTTATTTTGTAAGACTTTGAAATAAACAGACGTAAAGGAATAGACAAAGCTGAACGACAGGTTTGAAATTTTAACCCGTATAAGATTAGCGCCAGTCCAATGCAACTTTGAACAACCGGTCCCAGATTTAACGAATTAACTTCGAAGGATAATACATGCCTTTATCGCTTCCTGCATATATTAAACCACCATTGGCAAACTGTCAGGTGGAGCTCGGTTTTCTGTGCTGCCGAATACTATACAAGACCAGTCAAAGCCATGCCTATAATAATTTTTTGCCTGTAGTTTTTCGTTTCGGATAGCAATAAAGCGCACATACTGCAATGATAACCAAGTTGTTATCGGTTCAAATCGAAAATACTTAGCCTTTGAAATTGAAACCTGACAATACTGATAAAATAGCCCTGTGTGATGAATTAAAGCCGGCAACATTAGAACATATTACGGCACCGTACTTTAATAATGAATATGTCATACCTTGTTATACAAGATTCTGTTCTCAAATTCAAAACCTAATCAGAATTACAATTTCTGACTGCGCAATTAACGAAGTTTAACTACAGGTACTCACTGCGTGTGTGCGCAGTAACTGACACAAACGCCACCGCGGGACTGCAGTTGGAGTCTTAAAAAAACAAGAGATAAACTCTCAAGAAGTTCGATGTTTGATTGAGCGGTGGAAAAGGCTGCTGTCCATGATTGATAGAGTACGAATTCGCTGCGCAAAAACTGCGACTGTTTTGACGTAAATCGACTATATAAGGAAGTAACAGGATTTACTTTTCAGTGTATTATAACAACTTTTGGCAATGGATTTTATTGTCGTCGCATTTCAAATTCTGTTGTTGGGGATAACAAACATATTTGGTAAGTTATGCTGATCTATTGTGGTACAGTTTGCAAACAATTCTCAGATATATTGATGAATCTAACACGAGGGATAGTATAGGATATACTTTTAACAGTTTACGATTCATGTTAACGGCAACTGTTAAAACAATTTTAACGGTTAAAATTTATCCAGAGCCCAGAGGAAGTATAAGGTTACGGCTTATCAGAAGATTTTATGACCAAAAATCCTATATGACTGATGACTTGACTAACCAAATACTCCTATTCGACGTTTGTAGTTTATATATAGAATTGAATGTACATATAAGATCCGTGTAAGTTACCTTGCACATATGAATCTCAAACGTCAAATGGTGAAACTCGAAAACAGGCTGAGTTTCACAGAGTTGATGACGTTTGTCTTAATGGACATAACAGTTTGTTTAGTGCATATATATTTTCTGTATATACATCTTGACTTATACATATTTGATACTTTAAATGTTTATGTAAAATTTTTTGGTGCAACAACAATGGGACTAATATAGCAGTTTAACATATCAAGTCAATCTTAACTGTTAAGATCCTCACTGCTCAATGCAAAAAAAAACGAAAAAAAAAACGCATGATGGATTTTGAAACACTTTCACATTTCAAATTCATATTGTACTTGAAATTACAAACATATTTGGTAAGTCTATAATGAGAAAGTTTTTCTAAGTAACGCGCATTTTGCAAACAGACGATGGTTAATGAAGCCATATTATACTGAAGGCAAATTGTCCTCATGAGGTTATTAAAATCTATTTTGATTATTCGATGATGTTAATTTAACTGTTCATATAAACTTGGTCTTAAAATGTACTTATATCTACAGTATAAGTAACACGGTCTCCGTGCATGCGCCCCCTGAAGAAAACACAGGGTTCGTAGTCTCCAAGACCAAAAAAATTCAAAGACTTTCAAAGATTTTTGCTGCCTATTTTCAAAGACTTGTCGAAAAATTGCAAGTGTAAGCAACATTTTTACCCAATAATTAGTCCCATCAAATCACATCCTAAAATGTGCCTTTCGTCGATATTTGCGAAAATCTTGCTTCAATCAATCTATTTTATTAGCTAGGAAATCATATAATCAAATACTCGCTAAAGAATTTAAAAACTTTTAAAGACTTTCTTCGCTTTTTCACACAATTCAAAGACTTTTCAAAGACCTTAAAGACCTGCATTCAAATTTAAAAACTTTCAAGGATTTCAAAGACCGCTACGAACCCTGAAACAGGAAACTGTAGTCTGTACATAAATAAAGTACAATATACTATACAAATTATACTTCCAAAAAAACCTAATCAAGATTAACAAAAAGCTTTGAATATATAATGTTATATACTTTTCAGTTGAATGCAGTATGCACTGCCAGACATATAATAGCAAAGATATCATGCCTCAAAATTGTCTGTGGACGAAACAGAAAATAAAGTGAAAAGCCAAATGAAAAGAAATGACTGCCATCAAATCTGAACAGGTTTTTTTAAGAAACATTTAGAACTGTACATACAGGGAAAGAATCGCATTGCAAAGAATCTGGAGCATGGGCGGATTTATTGGGGGAAGGGTTAGGGGGTTAAGTGTTCAACCCCACCAAAATTTTGCTTCACCCCTCCTACTTTGTGTGAAAGTCTTTAACTTTAACCCTAACGCCTAACCCCCGCTGAAGCTCGCTCAGTGGTGCCTCTTGCACCACACTAGAAATTTTTCCAGCCCTTCTTCCAAAAAAATGAAAATCCGCCCTTGATCTGGAGAAGGGATTGTGTCAAAGCATTTTACCTGAATTCGAATTTCAATGTTAAAAATTTGCCACAAGTTGTCGGGGGCTCAAGTGCAGAAGTTGTAAACTTTCAGAGACCTTTCAATGTATTGTCATTGCAGTAATCGAATTTGTGATTTGCATGCACAGAATGAGTTATATAGTCACTTAAGCCCCAGTCAAACGAGAAGCGAGAGTTTGCAATGAGAGTTTTCTCAACTCTCATGCCTCGGTCAAAGGAGAACAAGACTCAAGAGTTGCATGAGAGTTGATGAGAGTGGACTGGATATTACAGAGCGCGTAGCGAAAACTCTCATCAACTCCAGTTCAAAGTTGACGAGAGTCGATCCTGTCGATGAGAGTTTGTGGTCAAACGTGAATTACCGAGAATTGAAACTCTCATCAACTCTCGCCAACTCTCATCCTCGTTTGACTACAGTGCGTTACTCCCCGCGCGTTCTCTCAGGATTCGTACGTGTTATTTTGACTCTGCGGAAGAGAGGGTTAGTCATGTGGAAAACCTCTGCTTGGGATCACATGCTTATAAACGCAAGGTAGCCCATCTGGTTTTAGCAATCATTGACACACAGATATCTTTATCGCCTATCGTCCAGCCTTGGGCAGCTGTAGCACCTTATCGTGTGATCCCAGCTATAGACTAAATTTTGATCAAGGCAAGAAGAACGAAATCCAACACCACAGCTAGAAAGAGCGTCGTAGAATGAGTAAAACTGCAAAGATTGGTTGCTAAATGTTGTAAAATGAAGAAAATATAGCCCTGTGAAGTTCGCAAATTTTGTATATATTTGTATTACGCGCGGTAAAAATAACCACTTTCGGCTGAAAAATGGTTATTTTTCCCGCGCGTAATGCAAATATATACAAAATTTGGGAACTTCACAGGGCTATATATTTTCCTCATTTTACAACAATTCGCAACCAAACTTTGCAATTGTACTCATTTTAATTAAGATGCTCTTTCCAGCTATGGTAATCGTTTCGTTCTATATTGTCATCTATTGTCCAGGGCAGATTATACGCCTGTAGTTCGCTTGTATAGTTTCCATATGCATGGTCGTAACGGTCGTAGGGAAACCGTCATGTAGAAACCAGGATTCAGAGTTTACGCTTTAAGCGCTGGGCAAACTAGGAAACATTATTGCGGAAACATTGTTTCCTACTAATGTTTCGCCATGTTTCCAAATGTGGACAAACACTAGGAAACATTAGTGAGAAACATAAGGAAACATCAAATGTTTCTGAATTCGCTAGGAAACATTTTTGCTTCTCGAGAAGCAAACAATTTTTCCACGGGTGGGCAAACAGGGAAACATTTGAGGAAACATCGAGAATCACAAATGTTTCCACAACAATGTTTCCTAGTTTACCCAGGGCTTTACGTGATATCACTTCCAAAAGGTATTTAAAATGAGTGGGAGTTTTTCTCGGTTGTTATCAGCACTGCTACAGTGATACATCGTACGTCTTAGGCCACCCGTTATAATTATTTCCACATATGTTCAGTTATTAAATGTTAAATAATACTTGATTCTCATATAAAGCAAGCGTTGAGCCGATATTGATCAAATCAACGTAACGAAAAATCGTGGGTGGCAAAAGATATAACACTAAAGTCTAAACTAAAAACTATTGGGCCAGCAATTTTTGACTCTAATAACATCCTGTTGGAAGATCTCTGGACAGGTTAATCTAAAATCAACACTGTTTGGGGTAACTTTAAAAACTCAAACCATTATTGGCATTATTAGTTCTTTTTTCACTGTAAATTTTAAGGAGTTGAATCAACTCTAAAAGTGTCATTCTGTCACCGTTTTTCGTGAGAGAATAACTCTTTTGGACTTGATTCAACTCCTTAAAATTTACACGTAGGGCCGCTCGAAATAACGGGCTGCCAATGGCCAAAAGCAGGCCATAATTTAGAAATGACAAGCAAAAACAAATTTGAACTGCCAAAGTAAAAAAAAATGGCAGGTGAAATTCTATATAGATATATTTCATTTCATTTGGTTACCACAACTCATATATACTAGATCATTTAGTCGACTAAATACGTTTATATTTGAAACGTAAATCCAAGTTTACTGTAGTAAAATAGACAAGTTTAAAAACAATAAAAATCCATGATGCTTGTGATGTTACTCTGAGTGTATATCCACACCGGGCAAGCTTGAAAAATATGCCTGACCACGGTGGGAATCGAACCTACGACCTTTGGAATACTAGCCCAATGCTCTGCCAACTGAGCTACGCGGTCTGGTCGGTTCGAGCATTGGGCTAGTATTCCAAAGGTCGGAGGTTCGATTCCCACCGTGGTCAGGCATATTTTTCAAGCTTGCCCGGTGTGGATATACACTCAGAGTAACATCACAAGCATCATATTCACCTGAGTACATTACACCAACGCAGAAAAAATAATAAAAATGCACATCATGAAAACATTGACTTTTACAATATGACTCATATGAGACATCGCCATTTTGGCAGTTCAATGAATCAAAATGGCAGGCTAAAATATATTTCACCTGCCAAAAACGTTCAAACTGGCAAGCCATATTTCTTCTCTACTTCCAGCCCAGTTGTCACGTCACATTTCTTGGAGCTTTTAAAAGCGTTCATTACGGAAAAATTTTTTTGCACAAGAAAATTATATGATAAATGCATTTTATTACATCTGTTTCAGTTTCAGATGGCAGCTACCATGAGGAAAGATTACTGAAAGATTTATTATCAAGAGTTGATAAGAACGATCTGAGACCTGTGGCAAATGATAGTGATAAAGTTACGGTGCAGATTGGACTGACTTTAAGTCAAATCATTGACGTTGTAAGTATGTTGGAATAACAGATGTCATGTCCCCAGCTTTCGACTCGAGTGTCCAGCTTTGGGACTCAATTTCCATCTCCCCAGCTGAGCAGACAAAATCTCCAGACAAAAGCTCCAGCCAAAACAGGAAATTCTCTATTACAGGTGTATGTACCACAGAATACCGCAAAAATTTACATGTTCCATATCTTTTGTCTAATGTATATAATATGGTTCCTTGATATTTTTTAGTATAGTGTATCGATATATTTTTTCTTCCTGGGGGTTTTGGGGCAAGATTTCATAGACTTAATTATTTTTCTTTAAATGAATATTCTGTGGAAAAAAATCCAATGTACCACAGAATACCAGTGCAGAGGTAAGTAAGCAACGGTTTATCAAATTGTACCAAGATTTGGTGTGTCATGTTGTATGATAATACTGTGGGATATTGCTAACTTAATTTAGTGAAAGTTAAATACTAAAATCAGTACAGAATACCAGTGGTATAACCAAAGAATACCAAGTTCAGGCCTTAAAATATCTTTTACAGGACCGTCTGACAAAATGTCCGATGACTTTGAGTTTGGGTCGGACATATGTCCGATGACTTCAGTTCAGTTTGGGTCGGAAATAAGTCTGAATGACGCAAATTAATATCAGCATAATGTATTCATTCTGAACTAAATGTTGTGAAGATATTAAATAATTTGTGTCATTCATACTTATTTCCAAGCCAAAATTAACTTGCTTGCCAATGATAGCAGTACGACTTCGATAACTTAAGCCCGTTTTCCACCTCACCATTTCACTCGCCGCCCCGCAACATTTTCGGTTCATTTTTATACAAACTCTGGTTCTGGACTAGGGTACATTTTGATTTACGTGCGTGGAGAAAGCGTCAGACAAAGCTACAGTTCGGTCGGACACCAATACACTCGGGTCGGACAAACAATAAACCTCAGTTTCACTTAGGTCGGACAGAATGTCCGGTGGTTTCCTCTCTACGTCGGACAATTTGATGAATGGGTCGGACAATGTCCGTGACCGACCGATATTTTAAGGCCTGCAAGTTTATCAATATTTTTGAAAAATTCAGTTTTTCAATGGTAAAATTGATTGCACTGTGTGATTCCAGTGTAGTAATAGTGTTGCATTGCATAGAAAAAGTATTGATCAACATAAATTATGCTGGTTTGCGAACTTATTTTTAAACATTCGGATTTTATAGGCATTATGCGAAAAAAAGTGTCAAAAATATAGAATTTACTTTTTGTTAATCCTGATTATTTTTAAGAATTTTTAAGAAAATATACATTTCTTGTTTTTATATGTCAATTAAGACTAAAACTAATATATAATCACAAAAATAAAGTTTATAGCATATTTCCTTCAAAATATTTTATATAAGAAATAAGTAAGACTGGTATTCTGTGGTACCGTGGTATTCTGTGGTACATACACCTGTAAGTAAAACTTAAAATATAGTTGTCATTCTTTTTTTTATTCAAAAATTAATTTCAACCAAGTTTAAATTTAAATATAATATATAACAGAAAACTTGGTATCTGTGTGGAATATAATACAGTGTTCTCAATAGAAGCAAGCACCCACAATTTCCGCCGTCTATATCGTAGAATTGCTGGTTGTGTCTCTAAATTATAACCTAAAATATTTTCTTATTACAATAGAAATGTGAAGGAAAAGGTTTCCTGCTTTTATATATATTATATACAGTATAACAAATTTTGCATATTCTCTGTTAAAATCTGGATATGATAAAATCTCCAAAACTACTCTTCAAAATAGCTGGAAATGCCATTTCAGAGGTGTAAATTTTAAAATCTTCATGGGGAGACACCCTCAGACCACACACCATTGGTGAGTGGTACCTTCATTCAGGTGCCGTCGAGAGGTTGGCGGGGGCCAGGGGCAAATTTTTTTTTAGGGGCCCCTATCTAAAAATTTTTTCTGGAAAAAACTTTTTCCGGAGTCGCCAAAAAATTTTCGGTCAGTGTACCATTTTAGGGGTAAAAAAATTTTCTGGACAAGTACATTGCAATTACTTTCCAGGGACTTTATCTCATTTTTTTATGCCAAATTTCGGTACTTATCCCAAAAAAACAGGTATCTTGTCCTTTGCGCGAAAATATTTAACACACAATAAAGACTGGGGCCCAACAAAAATTTTTCAGGGGCCCCCAGCACCTCAGGGCCCGGGGCAATTTGCCCCCTGCCCCCCTCTCAGCAGCCCTGCCTTCATTAGAGTACATGTATAGCTGCCTACGTCTTTCAACAATCTTCCCACTCAAAATTCTAGTAGAAAATTCATGTTCTTTCACTAGAATATCCAACTTATCCGAGTAAGTTAGGACTTTATGCTAAAATAATATTTTCAAAATACACTGAACCAAACTTGCCATGATTGACATACTGTAGATCTGTGGTGGGTGGGTATGTGTCATTGTGTGATAACGTTGAATCAAAGTTGTGTATGCCACGGCATGTGCAACTCGAATATGGGTGTGAATTCCGTGAAGCATGCATTTATAACTAGGTTTTAAAACGTTTCTTCAGCATGAGTTTGTCATACAAAACCTTTTGTTTTGCTCCTAAAACATTTTGTTTTGACATAATAACTTCTGTGGGCGTGGTATAAAACATATTGTTTTGCACGCGAAACTTTGAATTTTGGCGTCAAAACTCAAAAGGACACTTGTATGATAGAGGTTTGTTACGTAAACACATCCAGAAGGTGCTATAAACCTGTCATTCCGCTTTCTATAGCAATTTTGTCAGTATAAACGCGTCCGTACGAAAAATAAGAAGAAATTTTAGCGTGCAAAACAATGTGCTTGACACCACGCCCACAAAAGTTATTATGGCAAACCAAAAAGTTATTATGGCAAACCAAAAAGTTATGATTGACAAACTCATGCTGAAGAAACGTTTTGAAACGTAGTTATAAATGCACGCTTCACGGAAGCTCGAAAATGGTAGTATCTATATCATTCCGAATTGGTATCAAATTGCAACATTTAATTACAATTGAAATTAAAATTTGCTAGAAAATACCTATAGACATTTCTTTAGGTATTTTAAACATTAAAACTTTGTATTGCCGGCCCATAGGCAAAACGCTAAATACAACTACGTAAAAAAACATCACTGAATAAAATACAAATGACTAACTTGCGGTACAGGTACTTACCATTACCAGTGAACCAATTCATAATCATTGAGCATTCGAATCATATTTCAGGTACGCTTGCCATGTATCCACACCAAAACATACTTAAACTCTACACTATCCATTATTCTTTATTATTTCTACCAAATTATAACACTATCTGTCTAAATTTGTTCATTTACGATGATAAAAACATGCCAATTTGAGGCGATGTTGTATTCATTCCAAGATGGCCGACTCAAAACAAATTTAAACCTCCCGCCAAAATTGTCCCCCATATCCAACAAATATCCCACATGTGTCCTACTTTACTATACTTTACCCCTGGCATTAATCTAAGGTGGCTCGTTGGCAACCTCTGGCTTGCGAGGTTGGCTGGGTTGGTTCTATGGATATTATATACGATATTTTTATTTATACAAGTATTTTACTTTTTTAACTAGGATGGAAGAAATCAAATAATGACAACCAGTGTTTGGACAAGACAGGTGTTTATAGAGCCCATTTAAAACTTTTTCCATACGGTTGCAGCGTTATTCCTCTGTCCTTTTATACCAGAAAAAACATACTCCGAATAATAATGCCACCTTTTAAACTCAAGATATGAGTTATTTAAAGAAACAAGACATAAATGATGGTGGCGATATTTCGAATCCATTTCAGGGCCATTGTCAAACCAAACTGGTTTGACACTGTCCCTGAAATACTGTAGAGTCGAAATATTACAACCATCATTTGTGTCTTGAACTTCTCTTCTATGTCAATTAAATTAATTGGGTGCCCGGTCAAACCACAGGCCAGACGACCATGGGAGTAGATAAGAGTTGCAATTCTGAGTTGAGAAAACTCTCATGCAAACTCTGACAATTCTCGCTTGACAATTCTCATCAACTTGTTCTCATCCTTATCATTCAGCTTCATCATCAATCAGCTTCAACCCCAGGAAACAATTCCAATTTTCATCTATGCTTTTTACATACTTATGAACTGACATTCTCTCTTCAGCAATGGTATAATCATTATTTAAAATGGAATAAATCAGAATACGGAAACATCACCACTATCAACGTGAAAAGTTCCAATGTGTGGTTGCCAGATATGGTGCTATATAACAAGTAAGATTTTCACTTTAGTAGCTGGGAATAACTGTAGTGTGCTACACTTTCATTGGCTTTTGCTGACCATAACTGGAACTACACTAGCTTAATTTTGAAAATCCGCATAGCATAACAAATGCATCACTAGTTGGCTAGCTTGTTCAGATCGTTGATTCGTTTGTATCAAATTTACAGTTCATTTTAGATAACTCATAGGCTTTACCAGTGTTTTATGGCTAGGAAACAACGTTTCCTTGTGTGCCCAACTTCTGAAAACATGGCTAGGAAACAATGTTTGCTTCCCACCTTTGGGAAACATGACTTGGAAACACTAATATTCCTTCGGGAAACATGGCTGGAGACAATTTTTTCTGGTTTTCCCACCTTCGGGAAACATGGCTAGAAAACAATGTTTCCTGGTTTGTCCACCTTTGGGAAATGTGGCTAGGAAACAATGCTTCCAGCTGGTTTGCCCACCTTTGGGAAATATGGCTAAGAAACAATGCTTCCTGGTTTGCCCACCTTTGGGAAACATGGCTAGGAAACAATGTTTTCTGGTTTGCCCACTTTTGGGAAACATGGCTAGAAAACAATGTTTTCTGGTTTGCCCACTTTTGGGAAACATGGCTAGGAAACAATGTTCTGATATTCTGGTACAATAGAATTACGCATAAATGCGAGTAGTGAATTATAATACTCAATAATCTATTCATTTTCTTTCCTCGCAACTAGCGCGGATGAATCCATCGACTTTCGTGGCAACCTGGACCGTCTCTCGACTCGCGTCCAACTATTCCATGACGGCAAGAACATGTGGCTTGCGCCGGTGATGCTGCGCAGTAAATGTAAAATAAATGTCAGGTACTTTCCGTTTGACGCGCAGAACTGCACAATGAAATTTGGCTCGTGGACTTACGACGGAAATCGCGTGGATGTGAAAAAAGAAAACGACACAGCGGACCTCTCGAAGTACATCGAGTCGGGCGAATGGAAGCTTATAGCAGCACCAGTGCGTAGAAATGTTCAGAAATATACCTGTTGCCCAGATCCTTATCCTGATATCACGTATGATTTCATTATCCACAGAAGATCGTTGTTCTATTTGACCAATCTTATTCTGCCGTTGGTAGTCATATCTTGTTTGATCGTCTTTGTTTTCACATTACCGCCCGAATCTGGCAAGTATTTTTCAAGCTTTTTAATTTCACATAATTTGAGGAGAGAGTAACGTAAGAACAAACGTTGTAAACAACCTGCAGCAGCCACTTGTAGCAATGCCGTTCCAAGAACTGAATGTATGTTCCAATGAACTTGTAGCAATGCTGTTTTAACAGGATGTGTTCGCGCTGCTTGTTCCCAGCTTGTTGACAATATATAATTAGTTGTCAACGGCTTGTTGACAACTCGCTACGATGTTGTTGAGCTCAACAGACTTGTTACAAGTCGTTCCAACAACTTGTTATCGGCCTGCAATTCAACAATTTGTCAACAAGTTTTTTAGTGACAACCTTGCAGCAACTTGATAAAATAACAGCATTGTTACAGCTTGTTGACAAGCTTCCTACAACACATCTTGTTGAAAGGTTGTAACTGACTCTTACTGATCCAAACAATATTCCTGAAGAAATAGCTCCACTTGAACTTGAAATGTAACTAGTTACATTTACCTAAAAAGTGGCAACTACTTACTATTTCGCTACTTGTAACGAAGTTACTTACAGCAGTGTATTTTTCTTAAAACAGGTGAAAGAATCTCTCTGACAATCACCCTCCTGTTGTCCATGATGGTCTTCATGCTGCTCATTACCGCACAGATTCCGGCGACGTCCGACGTGGTACCGCTGGTCGCTAAATTCTACATGGCCGTGATGATGGAAATGGCCCTGGCACTGGTCATCACCTGTTACGTCATCAAATGCTACCACTCGCATACCCATAAAGTTCCGCGGTGGATGAAAAAAATACTGGTGAAAAAACTCGCGAACTTTTTCGGCATTAAAAAGTCGAACGAGCTGAAAATGGCGGAAGAGGAGCAGGAAAAATTAGAAAATGTTGGAGATTATGGTTTTGTGAGACGTTTGCTAAGCAATGGCTCGGTAAAGCAAGTGGACGAGGGAAAAGATGATGACAACGAGGACAGTGTATTGCATCTGACAGACGAGGTCATCAAAGAGGCCGAGACGCCCAACTTCTTAAGAGAGCGAGTGAAGACGGCCGATTCCATTGGGAAGAAGATACTTGGTAATTTGGAATACATCTCAAACAGCATCCGGGACGCGGCAGACCAGGAGCTTGTCAAGGAAGAATGGTTGATAGTGGCAAATGTTATGGATCGCATCGCAATATGGTTCTTCGCAGTCGCTATAGTCGCTACCATGGTCTCGATATTTTATCAGGCACCCGGGTATGTGGACTGATGAAACGAGTTTAACCCCCATCTTTAAACGAGTTCATCTGTTGAGTTTTTCGGAGGATGATCAACTGTTCCCCGTTTGATGCGGCGCCATTTTGCGGGAACATTGTTTCCTAGCCATGTTTGTGGGCGAACCTGGAGACATTTATCAGAAATACTTATTTGCCAAAACTAACGAGTAATATTTTTTAATACTAGTTTAAAACGATCAACAATGGGATTAAGAGGCAATTTTTTTAATGTCGCGTATTTGCAATGGAAAGTGTTCAAAACCTAAAATCGTTTTGGCGTTCCTCTCAAAATTACTTTGTTTTAACTTTATTTTGTAGTTAACACAGTTGCAACCTTTTTAATGTGTCTGGCGGTTGAGAAACAACGAAATAATAGTTAAACATTGTCAATTGAAATACAATTATCATTAATGCTGTACAATGGACCATTTGCATTATAGACTAAAGTTTGATCTAGACAAAAATTTCATCACAGCTTGAAAGAGCATCACAAAATTAGTAATATATCAAAGTTTCGTTGCGAAATGTTGTAAAATGCGGATAATATAGCCTTGCGAAATTTGCAATTTTCAGTCATTTTGTATTATGCACGGGAAATTGACAGCCCAATCGGGTGTTGGGGCATCAATTTCCCGTTTGTAATACAAAATGACTGAAAATTGCAAATTTTGCAGGGCTATATTATCCGCATTTTACAACATTTCGCAACGAAAGTTTGGAATATTACTAATTTTGTGATGCTCTTTCAAGCTGTGATGAAATTTTTGTCTAGATCAAAATTAGTCTATAATGCAAATGTCCATTATTGACGCCATATTTATACAGCAATATAAGCAAAACTTACTGAACTTCAGACATCATTTTCTCTTTGGCGTGCCATCTAAAATCTTTTCATTTTAGCATTATTTTACAGATAAAGCACTAAACATACTTTCTAAGTTTGTTTGCCACTTGAGAAACTTATCAACACTGATTTTAAAATTTGACTAATATATAGTTCTATGTAACCAAGTGGAAAGGTATATCATTAGTTTTGAGCGCGTGTTACGTAACATATAGGGGCCTACAAAAGATTCTCCTCTTAATGCTAGGTTTAAAACGATCAACGATGGGATTGAGAATTATATAGTTTCTACTTTCCCATATAAAATGTTGAGAAATGGAAAATAGTTTGAAAACAAAAATAATTAACGCAATATAAATAAGAGTATATAGAACCAACGACATAGCCATAGCTAAAGCTAGTGTGGAAATTTGTATTTAGTATTTTTCGAATTCTATTTTGTATTGTATATTATTGTATTATTTTATACTATTTGTATATGCGAAATACTGTAGGTAAATAAACAAATTTGCTACATGTTTCAATTGATTTCAATACCACATTATTTTTCATCATATTTGTTACTAAAAGCTTTCGATCCGTAAGCCCAGATCTTCATTGAAGAAAGAAGATTCATCATCTTCTTCTTCTTCCAGTCTTACCGGATGTTTTCTTGCGAGCAACATTGCAATATTGTCCCACAATATTGCAATTTTGATAGGCAGTTTGCTCTGAGCAATTTGCAACTGACGCGAACAAATTGCAAGTTGGAAATTCACAAAAGATTTGCAAACAAAGCCTCTGATTGGATATAAGAAAGAGGGAAGCCAATCAAATAGTCTGAGCAACTGGATTGGCGCTTCCCCCTTTCTTATAGTACAATCAGAGGCTTTGTTTACAAATCTTTTGTGAATTTCAACTTACAATTTGTTCGCGTCGGTTGCAAATTGCTCAGAGCAATCTGGCTATCAAAATTGCAATATTGTGGGACCATATTGCAATGTTGCTCGCAAGAGAACATCCGATTTGACTGTAATTGAACAAGTCACATATTATTGGCACTGATGCGGATCCAGGCTTACGAGTTATGGTCGAAAGCTTTGCAGTAACAAATTAACGTGGTGTTTCCACAAAGAAAAAGTATTATATGTTTTATCGCCATGCAATCCTACAAAGAACTTATATTTTTTACCGTTGGCATTGCACATTTGCCTGTACGATATAGAAAACTTTAATTCAGTAAATTAGCCGTGTATAATTGACCGTTTTTCTCTCGACAAGTTTGGGCAAGCCTGTTTTCATTGTCCATCCCTATATAGCTATTTATCAAATTATCCCCACTTAGCGAGTAATTTACCTTATTGCTTTAATCATAATGTGTTTTAGGCATGACTGTACTGTAGTTATATAAGAAGCCTTTGGCTTTGCCGAGAAGAGTGATAGTGAACACGTTACTGCGCAAAATTAAACGAAATATTTCTGAATCAACAATTATGCATAAAGAATTGCTCGGAAAAATAAAATCAACAAACGAATTTACACTTTAAAAAGTTCTTAGTACACAAAAAAATTATAGGTTTATTCATTTTAACGAGCTTAAAACAATGAAAGCATTCTTGTCGAAACCTGTCGAAAGAAAACGGTCTTTTATGAGACCATTGACGTTCTATTATATACAGCAATTTCAATTAAGGCTGCCTACACGCAAATTTGCAATGCTAACGGCAAAGAAATAGACGCGATTCAGGTATAATTGAATACAGATTACAGTTTCTTTACTGATTAACAGTTGAATCATTAACAGTTGAAACATGAATCATATACGCGTCTATACGTACTTTGTACTGCAAATTATAACCGAATGACCCCTAAAGCGAAAATAAGGAAGTGAATTACGACACTTTATGGCTATTGTTTGCCAGCCTCTCATCACCATTTGTCAGTAATCCAGGTGCAAGGTCAGAGCGAAGGAGATCGATAGTTCACTATCACGAAGCTAACAGAAAAACCAGGAATTTGGTCCGAAATGAAAGTACTTGTTTTTATTTGCATATCTGTGGTTCTACAAAGAAGTAAGTATATATGAAACATTATATGAAACTGTGCAGGATTCATTAATGCTTTCGTTTGATATATACAGCCATTTTAGTTACTCGCTTTGAGATATGACGCATCACATCAAAATGATGTAGACCGTAGTGTTTTTGCTTATATATGAATAATCCCATGCAAATAAAGCTTTGCTTGCCAAAGAAAGGCTGCGGTGTATATTGAAGTCACGAATTCAGAAAAAAAGATAAACAGTTACTAGTTAGGCTATTTTAGTATACACATTATCGTTTATTTATTTAACTGCATGTTTTATGCAAACAATACACAGTACTGACAGGGCAATGGTTTGTGCCAGTTTAATTTAAATTCTGACAACCGCGACAATCTCTGAAGGCTACTTTCTGAAGAACGTGTGTATTTTAATCAGTCTATTCATTCATGTGTGTGCTGTATTTCTTTTATATTTATAGTTACAATGATGCATTACGTGTATGCATTGACAGCTTTATTTGGCTATAGGCTAAGTTGTTCATAAACAGTTTGTTTAATTAATAATGCCTAATAATGCATAACAAATTTACCGCAAAGATAACATGTGGTGTCTTGCCAACATTACCAAGGATATGCAGGCCTTAAAATATCTTTTACAGGGTCGTCTGCATACAAAATGTCCGATGACTTTAAGTTTGGGTCGGACATATGTATATGATGATGTCCAATGACCTTCAGTTCAGTTTGGCTCGGAAATAGGTCTGAATGACGCAAATTAATATCAGCACAGCCACAATGTATTAATTCCGAACTACATGTTGTGAAGATATTAAATAATTTGTGTCATTCATACTTATATTTCCAAGCCAAGATTAACTTGCTTGCCAATAACATGCGCAGTAAGACCTCGACAACTCAAGCCCGTTTTCCACCTCCTTAAGCCCCGCGCTCGATGACATCAAAAATAAAACAACATTTCCGATTTTCCGGCTCACTTTTTAATGTTTTTATACATTACACTGATTCTCCATTTAACAGACGGGCCTCTAGTCCTGGACTAGGGTACATTTTGATTTACGTAGGACAAAGCTACAATTCGGTCGGACATCACTACACTCGGGTCGGACAATTAACTGAAAGAATAAAGTTTCCATTCTTCCATAATATAAAGTTATGAGTAAAGTCTAAAGAGTCATGCACGATTTCTGTATACGGTTTTGTGTTTGTAGTTCACTGCAAGGCAATATACGAGGAGGAAGAAAGACTGATGAAAATGTTACTGAAGCATGCCATACATCCTGATGTCCTGCCCATGGTGAATGGTCCTGTCAAAGTCAGGTTTGGCTTGACATTGAATCAAATTGTTGACGTGGTAAGAATAGATACAACCAAGTCGATTCCATGTGAAAATTCATCTAGCTACGAGTGAAATCATGGGATTCTGAGGAAGATTTGCCCTAGCCAATGCCGACAGAGATATTTGGGGGGCCGGGGCGGGTTAAATATTTGGGGTCGTAGTGATTTTCTGTTGTCAAAGATCCTTGAAGTTATGTGCTATTTTAGGACAATTATTTCCTTCGAGTTTGAATGCTTATATAATGTTTTCAATGAGTTTAATTAGTTCAGAGGGTTCGGGGGCATTCTTCCCGGGAAAAATTTGAAATCTAGAGTCCCTAGAATAGCAATTCCTGCATCATCTGGAAGAATATTTAATTGTGGTATCTATTCATATTTTACTTTATCCTTATTTGGGGCTCCCTTCAGCTGCGTGGGGCCCGAGGCAAATTACACTTTTGCCTTCCCCCTCTGGGCGGCCCTGTTGCCTTAGATTCAAATATTAGGTCTGGGATTCACATTGTGTTGTGTGAATCTATATTTCACGCATGTAAATATCATAATTAATCCAGTTAAATAGTTTTTATTACTCGATAATCTGATTTCTTAATAACTCAATTCATTATTTTCCAAAAAATTTCATAATGGTTGGCGTTAAATTAATTAAAGAACCAGGCCCGTAGCCTACATCAGTGCATATCAAAATTTATTCTCGTAAAATCATGCACTACAATAACTAGATTTTGTGTTTTCAAGCCAAATTTGATTTAATTTGTTGCATAGAATGAGAAACATCAAATTTTGACGACAAGTATGTTCGTCAGACAGGTAGGTAAAGAGAAAATCTATTTGAAAGTTGTAATCAAGACATGGCCACAAATTCTAAACTACAGCATTGTATCTTTGAAGTCTTGGAACAATCCTAGTTTATCCTGGAACCCGGCAGAATTCATGAACATCACCAGTATAAATATACTTCCTTCTCGTGTTTGGAAACCAGATGTTGTGTTGTATGACAGGTTAGTAAACGTGAATACATTGTTGTACCTTATAATTGTATAAAGGCTAAGGCTGAGCCAGAACAAGAACAAGAGAACAAGAGTTGAATGAGAGTCGAGAAACGACAGTTTGCATGAGAGTTTTCTCAACTCTCACGCCCCGGTCAAACGAGAACAAGAGTTGCATGAGAGTTGATGAGAGTTAAGAAGCGAGAGTTTGCATGAGAGTTTTCTCAACTCTCACGCCCCGGTCAAACGAGAACAAGAGTTGCATGAGAGTTGATGAGAGTTAAGAAGCGAGAGTTTGCATGAGAGTTTTCTCAACTCTCACGCCCCGGTCAAACGAGAAAAAGAGTTGCATGAGAGTTGATGAGAGTTAAGAAGCGAGAGTTTGCATGAGAGTTTTCTCAACTCTCACGCCCCGGTCAAACGAGAATAAGAGTTGCATGAGAGTTGATGAGAGTTGAGAAGCGAGAGTTTGCATGAGAGTTTTCTCAACTCTCACGCCCCGGTCAAACGAGAACAAGAGTTGCATGAGAGTTGATGAGAGTTAAGAAGCGAGAGTTTGCATGAGAGTTTTCTCAACTCTCACGCCCCGGTCAAACGAGAAAAAGAGTTGCATGAGAGTTGATGAGAGTTAAGAAGCGAAAGTTTGCATGAGAGTTTTCTCAACTCTAATGCCTCGATCATACGAGAACAAGAGTTGCATGAGAATTGATGAGAGTTTGATAAGCGAGAGTTTGCATGTGAGAGAGATACATCAAGAGAAGATTTTTGGATATTTCTTCAATGTTTCCATACAAGCCTCAATTTTATAGTTTTATTTTTTCCTCAGTGTTTCTAGCTCAAGGAGTGGTGGATATTTAGACGTAGGAACCACAAGAATCATCGTCAACTCCTCGGGCCATCATCAGTGGTATTCGCCCATCAACTTTGAGAGTCATTGTAAGATTGATGTGAGAAACTTTCCATTCGATCAGCAAGCATGTGTCGTAAAGCTTGGCTCGTGGACGTATGATGGTACAAGATTGGACATTATGCCGGAAGCACCAACTGCTGATTTGGGTAAGATGGTGGAATAATGAAATATTAGGGGTGGACCATTTGATATCCCGGGAGAGGGGAGGCAGATCCACCCCCCCAAATTTTAGTATAATATATAACACTTGTTCGTTGGTGTTCCAGGATCGTTCAAGACAAGTGCTGAATGGTGTGTTATGGAGTTTCCAGTCAAAAAGAACGTCTTATACTACGAGTGCTGCGAAGAACCTTATGTTGATCTTACATATACCTTGATAATTGAGAGAAAGCCACTGTCCTATGTGTTCAATTTAATATTACCATGCATATGTATTACAGTTCTGACTGTCATATCGTTCTGCCTGCCGCCAGAATCAGGTATGGTATCACTGGCCACATAATTTGTTCGTTTGTTTGTTTATTTGCTGGTTTGTTTGTTTGTTCGTTTGTTTATTTGTCGGCAGGATAGTTCGTACGGAACGGGGGGGATTCGCGCAAAGGAAAACAAAAGAAAATAAATTGTCAAAGAGGAAAGCAAAGAAAAATACCTTTACTCGCAAAAAAAATCCAGCATAAGGAGACGGCCGGAAAAAAATTGTGCCCCCTTAATCAGAATCGAATAGTTTAATAGCAAAGTTTATGGAACTAAAGGCCATAAGCTAAGGACATATCGATCAAATTTTGGTTGTATTCCCGTTAAAAATGATTGGATAAGCAGCCGTGCAAGTTGATTACTTGGTAAAGCAATCAAACCCTCCCAGAGCTTCTTCTGGTCTCCTCCCTCCTATTGTTTATAATCAACAGAACTCTCTGTTTCCAGGTGAACGAGTGTCTCTGTCCATAACCATCATCCTAGCCATGACAGTCTTCATGTTTATCGTCGCCGACAAAGTTCCTCCGAACTCCGACTCTCTGCCATTACTAGGGATTTTCTACTTCGCCTGCATGGTCGAAGAAACCCTGGGTCTCATTGCCGTATGTTACACACTCAGTTTGTACTACACTGATCCACAATGGTACAAGATGTCCCCTTGGGTCCGTTGGCTCATCGCTGATTGGGCGAAAAAGCTTCTTGGGATAAAAGTGGACCTCCCACGACGAAAATCGGCCACTATCCAGAGTACCCACCAGGGCGTTCTTGAAACGGTACCGCTTGCCAAAAGTGCGCGTGAGCAAGGCACCGATGTGGTTACTATTGCTCACCAAAGTCACATGGGAAACAAAAGGAGATCACGTGTCTCGAGAGAAGGCCCCATGGGGCAACCACGTGATAGCTCGGCTGATTACTGGAGACTAGCAGCGATGATCGCAGATCGTATTATGTTTATTTTGTTTCTTCTGGCAGTATCAGTGACGTTTATCGTGGTGCTCGCGACCGTATCTCAGGAATGCAAGAACTCATGAGAACAAAACTCAATGCATCTTTCAACTCTAATGTCTTAAAAATGTGCAAATGTTTATCACGCGACCGTATCTCAGGAATGCGATGTCAACATATCATGTGTTAAGTTAGTTTTCCTTCAAGATACTGTAAAGTCTGTAATGTAAACAAACGCTTTGTTTACAATTTGAACTGCTATATCTGTAAAATATGATATACTAACTGAATATCTAACACTTTTCTGGTTTGCTATGCTTGTAAATGATTAGAAACTCTACGTTTCAATTCAAAAAAGTTCGAAAGATGCAGAATTTGGGCAATGTTTATACCTGCGGGTCCCCCTTTGTTATGAGCAGACCTGATGCGCAGAACGGACTTTACAGCATCTTTAACTTTGTCTTTGAGAACAGAACTCGATGCACCTTTCGACCCTTATGTCTCAAAAATTTGCAATAGTAGAGATAACACTTAGCATATGGATAGATATGTTTATCGCAGACGCAGTGCTCGCGTCCGTATCTCAGGAATGCAGGAACTGATTTGAACGTATTGAACTATTATTCATGGCTTTCAGCATAAACACCATCACCCAGCAGCTGCTGGTCAAGTTGTTGACACATATAGGAGCGAACAAATTAAACAACTATTCATGGTGTACCCACCCCCACCCAAAAAATATACTCTAACATCTGTGCCCCAGATTTTTACACCGCTAATTATTAGTGGACATCGAAAATTCAATCCTACGAGATAAATTTTGACACTGAGATTATCAAATTTAGTCTAGTAGAACCAATGTTTTGGCTGTTTTAGAATAAAGTCTGGTTCCGCAAATGGACCATTGAAATGATGCATCAGTTGGGTAAAGTATCAATAGGTTTGATGACCTCATACTTTAAGCAGCACTAACATTGGATCTACAGGCCCGACTCATCTACTAGATCAATTCTAATCTTAATGTCAGAATTCATCTCTTACGCCTGTATTCCAAAAGCTCACTCACGCTCACACTCAATGAGTGGAGGTTTAATCTGAGCTTCCCTTAAGTGTCAATGCTGTTTTTGAATAGCTGGAGGGTTGGTCTCGTACCTTACTATGTGACTACTCACCCTCCAGCTATTCAAAAACAGCACTGACACTCAAGGGAAGCTCAGATCACGGTTAATAGAATCTAATTCTATTAACCGTGCTCAGATTGAACCTCCACTCTTTGGGTGTGTGAGTCAGCTTTTAGAATACAGGCGTTAGATTGGATTTTTTATACCTACTAATAATTATAGCTGTGTAAAAATCTGGAACACAACTATTGCATTTTTTGAGGCAATTTGTATATCCCGTATATCCTATTAGCATCGAAATAAAGGCTACCACATATAATGAGGATTAAAAAATATTTTATAATTCTGATTAGCCACCATCTGTTGCAAAATTGTGTTGAGTGAACCCATAGAGTGAACGCACAATGTACCTTCTCATGTTAATTAGAAACATTACGAATAAGATTGATGGGAATTATGAATTGGTGTACTTTAACAAACGGGTTTAAATTTGGGTGTTTTTGATTGTGTATCTTCGCTATATTGTATGATGTTCTGGACAAATAAAGAATATTTTTGTGTAACAATTACAACTGAAGCAACTTGTCGGTATCACATGCATTCGTACTACGTCTAGTCGCAATCTGAGGGCAGTTTCTAAGTCCCTTATGATAAATTCTCTAAAAATCCTAATTTCGAATATTGTTTAAAAAAATTAAAGCAATGGAAATTTTTCGGCTATGTTAAGATTTCTGAACATTTCTCCTGCTTCTTGCTGAACGAAAACATGGGTATTATTTTTTTTAACATTAATAGGTTATAACATTAGGAAGTCCGCGTTTTATCCTTTTTCCCGCTGTCGCAATTCCGCTTTCCCGTAATTCCGTACCGCGTTTTACCCAAGCCCTCACAAACCGTTCCGTCATCAACGTGACGTTGAATTCAGATTTGATCTAAGCTATTCAACTTGTCGACAAAACGATAAAATCAACCTACGTATGTATAGATAAAACGTACAGAAATATGGCCACAATAGCGCGGTTACAGTTAATTAGAGGACTTACGTTGAATGAGATATTGCTTATCTATACTATAGAACGAAGAATGTTCTTGGCTGTAATTGATAATAGATTCAGGAAATAAAATGTAGTTTTAGATAAATGTGTTGTCTTGCACAAAAACAAATCAACTATATTTTCCCCCCTTCAAACCACAGTTAAACCTGGCTGCAGGCTATGACCTTGAAATCTGGCGCCTATTTACATATTAGCCTGAATGTATGTGTGTAATTTTCAATAGGATTTTGAATACCTAGAATATTCTCTAATTAATAGAATAAACCCCAATATCATAACAATTCATAACATGTTTTCATGGTATACAGTCATTATGCTCTTGGCCATGTGTCTTTTAAGACGTTAAAGGCCCATTGGCACTCAAGAAAAATTTCCACGGGCAGAAAATTTTCCGAAAATATCATTTTTAAAAGTTGAAAATTTTCAACTTCAAAATACAGTTTCCGACGGAAAATTTGTGTGGGCCAACTGACATTTCACAAAATTTTCTTTCGGCGGAAAATTTTCCAGAGTGGAAAATGGGCCTTTAGACTCTACAAATACCGCGATTATTTTTCGGGTGCCGCCTTAAACCTCATAGATTAGAACTGATATAGCTATCTAGCATAGATAAAGTTAGTTTAGTGTAAACCTCTAAACCCTGACTTTACACATTATATCAATTAGTCTGGACATTTTCAGGACCAAATTCAATGGCACGTGAGCATTTGACAATATTTGTCTGCATTGATATAATAATATTGACATTTCACAATGGTGTAAACGTGCTCTTAATTTAGCGGGTAGAAATTTAGCAGACTTCAAACAGACGGGAAGGGGGGCGGGAGAGATGAACAAGGGTCAAAGTTTTACCCTGTCGTAGTTTGTGTCCATCGCCTTCCTAAACGAACGGCCTTCGCGCAAGACGTCATGTGGCTCATGCATGTGGTTTCGACTCAAAGTGAAAGTGAGTCAAACCATGGCATTTTACAATACCCTTCGACTACTGCCTAAAGTGCCTGTTAATTAAGGCTGATTTCCACTGTTGCGTTTTTCGTACGCACGTACACCCACGTAAATCAGTTTTATTTTTTAAATATTTTACAAATAAGTTAACAAATGCATACTAAAACTTGCGGAACACTAAATTCTGTTTGCTTTATTTATTTGGTTATTTCATAAGTAGCATTTAAACGGATTTAAAGTTTTACGTGCGTATACGTACGTATGAAAAACGCAACAGTGGAAATCATCCTTATGAAAACCGTTTTCTAGGCACTTTTCGAGGTCACAGCAAACGGCCGACAATTATATCACCATATCTCTGGCAATACCTTTGTTCACTCCACCTTCCAAAAGCGCCGCTGTTATTTCCATGGTTCCTGTTTCCATCTAAACTGCAACCAACGAATACAGAAGATTTGGATCTGTTGGAGGAGCCAGCTGAGGAAGTGGACTGAAAATTCAGAGGTATCAATGTCTGCTTTGATCACACCAATTTCGAAAGGACTTTGATATTGATAACTAATTTGATTTACCATATGACTGCACTACAGTTTATTTTCCTCAAACGTCTGCCACTTTGAATGCACGAACAACCAAATAAACACAAAGTGCAAAGGTCCAACAATATTCCTTACAAGGGCTGTTCGTATGAGCCGGGCCAGCCCAGTTAACACCGAGGTGAATCGTGTCACAAATTTGTTTTCCTGACTGAATGAACTTTATACTGTTGCTGGAATCAAACTAAACTAATTCAACTTTGAAATGTCAAAGTTTTATGTTTATATTACACTGTATTACACGAATCATACCGGCTAACCGCGCCAGCCCAGCCCCATATGAACAGCCCCCTAGAAGGTGTATAATTTATTAAGCTGTCAACTATTTTACTAGTTTGATAAATATTCCTCTCTCCATAACAAATTTATAGCAAATTTAATAACATTGTCTGTGTAGTGTTAGAGTTTGCATTCTTGTGCAGATTTTATATACAGGACTACTTCTATAAGAATTTACATTATTTTACTGGTTCCCAAATTTATTACCATGAAAGTGTCTGTCATGGCGTTTCCATTACTATGTTTGTATAGTTTTAGCTCGTGTCCTCTTCACTCAATCACCACTCGACATAGAGCTTGACCTCGTGGTCCCCTCCTTGACACAAGGTCGCACACAGCGAGTCTGCATTCATCAGTACCATATTGAAGATTAATCTAGCTTTTGCAACCCACAATTCTGAAAGCCACAACAATCGAATACCTATAACGTAATCACTCAATTCCATTCACTATCAGGAGTTCAGTATCACAGTGACGCCATTACGCCCACGACACGACTTCCCAATTTTAAATTTCACCGACTCTCCAACGACACTCCAACAGGCCAGTCTGAAAACTCGAGATGCAATTCTGGCAACTCTTGTAGATTTTCAAGTCCTAATTCTTTGACCAATAGAGCAATCGCCTCCTCGCTAACAAGCGCAGATTCCAGCAAACCATTTGCGTTTGTAGCACTTGTCAATAGCACGCAATGTGGTACCGGGTAAATGGAGTTCATAGGTTTGTCTCCTTCGGAGACCTGTGATGTTTCAGAACTCACAGCTAACTTTGGCGAAGATATTGGCCTCTTCAACGCTGTTGTTAAAGTTATTGAGCTATCCAAACGTACTGCTGCAGTCATGGCGATGATTTGATCACAAGGCTGGCAAGATCTCTTTAATTTCTATGGGAACAACGCACGCATTAAATAAGTTAATTGAACAATCTGGTCACAATATGAATAGACAGAAACCACATGTTACATGCAAGGCCTCGTGCAAGGCTTGGCACGAACCGATTATATAAAGTCTTTTAAAGGCTATTTAACTTGCCCAGGCACATGTTTCCCCTTATTTTTTCCATGTTTTTATTGATCTAAGTATGATTAAAAACACACAACAAATTTTCGACTGTTGACTTTAAACTAAAAACCAGTTGGTAAAGGGAAAATATTGCATTCTTTATCTTGCGGCAATTTAAAATATTGAGCAAGACTCAAGCTGTGTATTAATGGGGGCCAATTGTATAGATCTGTGTGTTGTTGATGTTTATTCTGGCAGGAAAATACATTTATAAGCAGCAAGGGAAGTTTCATTATTGTGTTGTCACTATTGACTACAATAGAGAATGACATAGTACATATTGTATAATCTATTGAGTTAAACCTTCCTGTTGGGTTTTGCCTTGGTCGAATACTCGAATTCCAGTCGAGTACATGACCCGAGACTATATATTCGTGTCTATATATCAGTACATTCCACAGAAATGAGATAAGAAATCATCAGAATCAATTTCCTCAGGAAATTCATATGCACATAGGAAATATATTCCTGATAGGTCAGATAGGGTCCGGCCTAAAGGAATTTCTATACTAATGGGTATAAGATGCGCCATACTGACATTTTGTCTCATCGTTTTTGTAAGATGGCTACTCGATGGAGATTTATTCAGCCATACATAATGTGTTGCATATTGTTTTAAAGAAAGTAGTTAGGGAATATACAGTTGGAATAGAGAGAAACAGGAGTAGAGAGAGAAACAGACTTCAACACAGAGAGAAATTGTGTAGGAATACTGGAAAAATTGGGAAAACATTTCAGGCGTTCAAACCACTGATCTGGAAGAGTGTATTCTGTCTATATTCAATGAGTCCACTTTGAAGATCTGTCAAAGTATTCACATATCGAATTGTTAGGTGTTTAAAGTTCAACTCTCGAGATAACATGACTCTATATCAGAAATTGTGTTGCAAGCAAGTTGCAGCAAAAATTGACTTCGTGTGTCATATGGCCTAATTGACGCCGTGCACGGCTACAAAGGGAAGATACTTAATAACAGCTAGAAAATGCTGTGTGTGAAAATTCCTTGAGGCATTCTTGGGTAAGGACTATATTTTCACACGCAATTGTCTTGCATTGGTTTCAAGTATGTTAATTAAACGCTATAGGGCGTCAGATGCAGGAACATTCATTATGTTCTCCTGGGAATATTTGAATATTTGAAAGGTCTAATAAATATCTGAATGTAGCCTCCTCTGTTTAATATATAAAATTCACATTCGCAATTCCACCCACACAACCCTTCCATCAATTTACAAATTCGTTAATAAATATAGCACTAATTTTCTGAGGAGGTCGTCTTCTTTAATTCATCAGCATTGACCCTCCCGAAATTGCTAAATAGTCAAATGGATATCACTTTGCCAATGTGAATACTAGCTAGTATTCAAACATTTCCCCTGTGCTAACACATTGACAGTGATATTAAAATCACTATATAGTAAGCCTGGTTTCCATATGGCGTAATGGTCGCAAAAAAAGAGTCACAATCTTTCTCAACGACCAGTTTATAATAGTTTATACCTGTAAACCACATATGAATCATAAGTATTCTCTAGTTATGATCGCTCCGCGTATTTTCAGTTCTAAAATGTTGTATTTCGGCTGATGAGAAAGATCGCGACTCAATCTTTACGACCGTTACGACCATATGGAAACCAGCCCGCCAACCAGGCTTTAAAATTTCAATCAATGACAATGCAAACGACCAATAAATCCCAATAAGTTTATCTAACAAAGCTAATCACGTGCCTAACACTCGTTCATAGCGCTATAAAATGTCAGAAAAACACATTGCTGGAACTGAAAAGTTAATCAATTATATCAGAACGAACTGTGCAACTTACATGCATCAATATATAGTCCAATGTAATCTAACCCACAAACACAGTAAAATATTCATAATTTATCTTCAATCAATAAAATTTATTGTAATTAATACTATAATAGTCCTTTAATTCTGGTCAAAGACATGATAGGGAAGAATTGAAAAGTCATTAATTATATTTTCAAAGGATCAAAGGACCCATTCAAGTTAGCATGAAAGACGTCACCCCAATTACATGCTTCATTCAAAGATCACGTTATGGTGACAAAGAGCCCTTACAAATGCAAAATCATTTTAAAACAAATATTGCAAGAAAGAAAGAAATCCTATAGTTAGTGGGGGAAAGGCGCAAAACAAGGCCAAGGGTACCCCCTCCCCCAATTTAGGCAGAAATGATATGCAAGAAAATCGGACAATTTTGTTAGGCAGTCCATGTTGATAGTTCATGTCATTTTTACTGAACTGGACATGTTTCATTCACAATTAAGTATGTTTAAGTTATATTAAGTAAAATTCTCTCGTAGAACTAGTATTCTATGTCTTATAATCTATCAAGCCTAGTTTAGTCAAATATTAGTTTAGTCTTCATTTGGTTATCACAGTTAGCAAGTACCTACTTTTCTGTAAATATCATTATTATGTTGTTTGTGATGTTATTCTGAGTGTGCATCCACACCGGGCTAGCTGAAAAGTTTGCCTGACCATGGTGGGAATCGAACCCGCGACATTTGGGATACTAGTGCATTGGCTAGCAACCCGGTTCGATTCCCACCGTGGTCAGGCAAACTTCTCAGCTTGCCCGGTGTGGATGCACACTCAGAGTAACATCACAAACCTCATATTCACCTGAGTACATAACACCAACAAACACCAAAAGTATCATTATTATATATGTATTATTCTTGTTTATGTATAGAGTGGTACAGACTGGTACTGAAATATATATATCTTGTCTTGTCTAAAAGTTGTAAATGATAGCTGTTTGGGAACGCCAAACAAGCAAGCAAGTGTGTGGGGTGCTAATCACTCATACTGACAGCTAACTGATTTGCGAACTGGCGCAGCTCGACTCGACGGTTTTCTAATTACTCATGTCCGATCACTGACACAGCGGTGGGTGGGCAGGGGTGGGGGGCGGTTAGTGGCTAATCCCAACCCACGCTACCGACATTCCCTGTGGGAGGAAACCGGAGTTCCCGGAAAAAATTCCACGACTTTCGGTTGAGCGTTGGCTGACTCTTTTCACATAAGTGTACACTATGAACTTCGCAGTGAGAATCGATCCCAGGATCTCAGGCGTGAAAAGCGCTTGCTCCGACGATGGCGTGAGTACCTGTGTAATACAGGCATAAGTGCCTGTGTAAATACATGCAACAAATAGGCCATAACTTAAGTATAAGTGTGCTGTTCTAGACAAGTGTCGTGTGTGCTGGAAATTGTAAGATATCGAAAGTCGGGCAATTTCCGTCTTCGTTGGGCAAAGTAGTAGTCCCCAAACGGTTTTCGCTGGCACGCCTTATTTCAAAAGGAAATATGAAACTAATCCGTGCTTTAATACCAACGCGCGAGTACTTATAATATCAGATTGAATGAAGTGCAGGTAAAGTCATCAACTATATGTTAGACTGATTCTTATCTTTACAAAGTCAAGACCTACCTACACACAAGCATTCTAAAAATACCAAAACGAATACTTGGTATTAGATTAGATTGCAAGGAAAATCATCAACCATGCACGATGGATGGTAAAAATACCACACCAATAAACTGTAATGCAATTATAATACGATTTTCCAAAAAATTGTAGTTGAATGCATGCGTTGCAGGTGATACCATTACTATCAAGCATCAATCGAGTTATCATGGCAGAATGCATGATCTCTTATCGTTCAATACAAGGTCAAAACCTACAGCGCTACACTACCTACGTTAGTACGTTCCTCTCCTTGACATTATAAAATACCAAGATTAAACTCAAACCATTTAAAGTAGTACTATGATAGAAAATCTAGTTGGCAAAAATGCCAGTACTTAATAGTACCAGATTCCGAAAATTCCTCATGTTAAAAAGGGAAACGTGAAACTACATCGTTATTGCAGGAATGGTACGTGTGAACATCGTGTAAAAATATCAGCTTGAATTCCTTGAAAGATTACAGGTCAAGTCATTAATGGGATTAACCAGAATCAGCCAGGCTAGACGGCCAATAAGCTTTAGTCAGTCAAGGTCTATACTAAACCATGCACCGATGCACGCACAAAACATTATAAAAATACCAAAATCATCTCGAAACAGCTTTTAAAAGTTGCGCTATGATAGAAAATCTAATACGTTCGTGAAAATGAAAGTCATTAAAATATTAGAAATCGTCAACCATGCTCTAACTCTAAGAATATTATCTCTTAGCTATGATAATTATCGAGTCCATATTAAGAATATAAAACCACCTGAGATTCACACCATCTCAGGCTCAGCTTAAAGAATAAATCCTAATTACTGCAAATGCAAGTATTCGAGAATTAGGGTTGAAGTTTTTATGTTGGAGTATAGGAAAAATGTTCAACCATACGAGGTTATCATCGCTGTGCATATACCTCCCACATTATCAAGCTCATACTAAAAATAGCAAACAATCTTGAACTATTGAAATCGCACTATGAGAAGAATTTGGCAGGCGGGAGTGCTGTGGCTGGAAGTGAAGTCAGGCATGCATACCATACATGATATCAGAAGGATTGTACGAGTCTACGAGACTTATATAACTTATCTAGCAATGAGGTCACCTGTGGAGCCCAGAAATATCAAACCAGTTGAAAATAATCCTATCTACGATAGGAATTCTAGTTAAGCCCAAGGTAAATATACTTAATACCAGATTAAAATCTTGTAGAGTGAGGTCAAGGCCTACTACCCACATCCCCTACTGATGTGAATGACATGATAAAAATTACTATCAAAGCGTCTTACATAAGCTATCGAAATAAGCATTAAGAAAGAAATCATATAGTTATTTCAAATATCAATACTCAGTATTGCATTAAGATATAGCAAAATGCGTCAACTTGTTGCTGGGAAAGATCTAGAATGTATGAAACTCGTCAAAACCTTCTAATTAGAGACCGAAATGAAAAATATCGCACATTTATATAAACCACTGAAATGATATAGGAATGCAAATATATTTGCCAAGTTAATTGGTGCAAATGGTCGAGAAGCAGAGGTACAATCATCAACACCCATGCAGCTACACGCATATATGAAAGTTAATATAGGTCATTGACTCATGGCCACCTGCCCATTGGAACGAACGAACTCTTAGACATATAGTACACCGAACCATTCACCTAGCTTTATTTTATGATAGCAATTCTAGTCGGTGCAAATTGCATGTACTTATTGTATCCGATTGTAATGCAAGTAAGATCTTCAACCATATGCGATTTAGTGCGAACGAGGTCAAAAAGTTATCATCGACAAGGGCTACCCTTCGCATGCACATTTTTGGTGCACATGGTCAAAATACCACAATCGTCTTAAATAAACTATTGAAATTAACACTGTGATGGGAAAAAATACACACCTGAGTTGGACTTCGTCTTCAGACTCCCTTCAATTTTTCTTGAATTCAGACACCCACTTTCACTGCTGACGCGACACAGAATGGCGACAGCACAGGCGGTAATATGCTTTATATGTCGATCGCACACAGACAAACATATTTACGTTATTGCTATTTTTTAATGCTTTCCGCGTGATTGTTATCGCCGCGTCACTCGATTCATCCAAGATTTAATTGTCTTTCTATTATCAGTACTCCAGACGCACCGGAAATTGATTGTGGCCACTCAAGCGCGCGGATTGAGGAAGCGTTGGTTATGGCCTTGGCACTCTGCAAACCTGCAAGCATTTACGATTATTGTTAGAATTCAATTCGATTCAAACTGCTAAAACTTTATTCAGAGTACACAGTACTGCAGTATATATACTAGTTTACACTATCAAATTTTCTGTGATCACAGTAGGAATTTTGCATAGGCAAATTCGAAGTTTTAAAGGATTTGTCAGAAATCTTTGAGGAAACTGAGTGAGTGTTTAATGGTTTTTAACATTTACTCAGTTTGCTCATCGATTCAGGCTCGGAGTAGGTACGCCATCTATATATAATCTTCTAATATCCAGTAATTTATTAGCGATACTTTGAATAGTTGTTTAAACTTTATAGCAATAAACATGCTGTTTGTTTTTTGTCTTGCAAAGAAGCATGAGAAATGTTAAAACTTGAATAGTAAAATATCCGCATTTGGAACGAGAGAAGGGAAATATGTATTGAATGAATATCGATCTATATATTTTTGAATAAAAATAGGGATTTTTTTAAGATTTAATAATGAGCCTCATTTCCATACATAAATCTACAATTACAATTAAATTTCACCTACGCAGATTGTTTTTGTGTACTCCAGGGAATGCCGTAATTGAAGTAATTGTTTCAGCATGAATCAGAGATTATCGATGTATATTTCAAAATGAAAACTGAGCGGGTTTGAAAGGGGTTAAGGAGTCTATATTTTCACACATAAATCTATAAAATCGTATGCTGTGTACCACAAGAATTCCATAACTAAAATACTTGTATCAGCATGAATCAAAGATTATATCGACGTATATTTCTGAATGAAAACTGAGTCTTTGAAAGAGGTTAAGGAGTCTATATTTTCACACGTAAATCTATAAAATCCGCCTATTAACCGTGCCTCCACACATCGTTATGCTGTGTACCGCAGGAATTCCATAACTCTAGTAATTGGATAAGAGATTATTAATGTAGGTATTTACGAAATCTTTCAATATGTTGACATACACCTACGTGATAAAATAAACATGTTTTGACGTGAAACCAAGATGACGAGAGCTAGCCTATTTGGCCATTTTTAGACGCGCGCACGGAGGTAGCCTATTTTTGAAATGGAATTTAGGTGCCGTTTTAGCCCTGGCTTGGGGATGTGGGGGGAGGGGTTATGCCTCGGACGACATAGTACTGGTTTCCTTACATGTTTAGCATTACCAATTTTACGATCGAAATGGGCACTGCTAGAGTTTGTGCGAGAAATCTAGAGCATAGACGTTCTCAGCAATTCAAAGTTTTAATGTACAAAACGATAAAATGGTACCCGACAGGTCCCCGGCCCTGACTATCTTTCAAACCGATTTACTCCAGCTAATACGATGCATATAGCATCCTCGGTCCCAGGGCCTCACGGCTGACACTGCGTTGCCGAAGGCCGTGAGGCCCTGGGACCGAGGATGGATGCACAGCTATAACTTGCGCGACTCTGATTCCAAATTATTTGTCCCCCCATGCAAGACCTTTTGACTGAGTCACTCAAGAAAAGCTTTACCTATACTCGATAGAGGGTCTGTCCTGGGCTGTGGAATAGCCTCATCATTAATTGCTCCAACAGGTAGCCTGCGTGGCAGGCCCTCAATTTTATGGGGGGCCTGATTTGCAGCGGGCAGGATATTGGCGGGCACGGGGGAGGATTCCTGCCCGCTGCAAATCATCCCCCCCCCCATAAAATTGAGGGCCTGCCACGCAGGCTATCCAATAGGTTGAATGCTGTTCTTAGGGTTTTTAATCCAAGTGAGTATATACATACATTTTAAGACCTGACTAGGAACGACTGCGAAAAATGCAGCACAAGGTCCTCCGGTAGGAATTGAACCTACGGCCCTGCGATTCCGGTGCAGCGCTCTAACCAACTGAGCTACAGCGCTTACAGCTCAACAGCTGGCCTCTGTAGCTCAGTTGGTTAGAGCGCTGCACCGGAATCGCAGGGCCATAGGTTCAATTCCTACCAGAGGACCTTCTGCTGCATTTTTCGCAGTCGTTCCTGGTCAGGTCTTAAAATGTATGTATATACTCACTTGGATTAAAAACCCTAAGAACAGCATTCAAATATTAATACCACCAAGTGAAGTGCAAGAAACCAGATCATTGAAGTCCACCTTATCCAATAGGTTGCAACTTTCAAAAACATTTTAATTTAAGCCAATCATCATATAGTATTAATATTATTATAGTTAATTTTTGAAACATTAAATACTTTGTAATTTGTATGTACTTATTCCATACGCCTCCATAGTCATGGAAGAGCACATACTTTGAATTCCGTATTTCAATAAAGTTTTAGATAAAATTAAATTGTAGATAAACCTTTTCTTCCATTTCAATGAGCGATTTTTTTGTCCGTATTTTTTCACATTCCCCCGCCATTTATTCAATATGGAATGTCGCCGGTGCATCGGGAATTTAAACCGTTCAGTCGGTTCACTATCGAACGGCCTCTATCTTCCTCCGCAGAGTCTTTGAAAGATTCATTTCGAAAGAATTTCGTAATTGTGCTAGAAGATAACAAAGATGACTTTCACTTTTTATCATCCTTTAGCGTAATTACGAAATTCTTTCGAAATTTATCCTGCAATTAAAAAGCTAGCTCTGCAGAGGAATGAGGAACAGCCTGGTGACTGCATGTAGCACTGGCGATGAATCGGCGATGAGTGGTCTCATATACCTTAATTAATTACAGACGAGCAAGTTTTGATATGGCAACTTTTCTTTGTCAGAGGCCGCGAAACCGGGGGAGCACTGGGGACGGTCCCCCCCCACACACACACACACACTTTTTGTGCAAGGAGAAAATGTGCCCTTTTTTCCAGCAACTAAAGAGGGATTATAAATGCTCCCTTAAGCTAGGAAGTCTACAAATGCCCTGTCTTATTGTTACGCACATAAACAAGGACAGAACTGATGAACTGGACTTAAGATTTTTTGGCAATTCTCTTTAAATTTGTGGTTAATGTGTTGTTCATGTCCAGTTTAGGACGCAGAGCTATTAGAGAATACGTATAACATCCGAGGCTGTATATTGCGTCTAAGGACACATCTAAGGCCTGGTTTATACAACGTGCTATGAGCGCACCGAACCAATTACTTAACTAATAAGTTCGTTCATAGCACGCTGTCTAAATCAAATTGGTTCACTTTCTGAATTAGGTTCGCTCCTGACCGTGCGGCTCGCTCGTCGAAGGCGTGCCGAACGCTCGTAGCACGGTTAAGCATGCCTTTGATTTAAACAACAGTGCCATCAGCGAACCATATTGCAACAATATGAGACGGCGCCATATTGTATTAATGTTATGCTTCTTATACGCCCAGACTCTTTATCTCAAGTTCTCAACTTTAAAAATTGGCTCGCTCAAATACGTTACGTATCAGTAAATCAGAATGCGTGCTAATAGCGTGCCTGGCCGTGCTAATTTAAAAATTGGTTCGGTTCGCTCATAGCACGCTGTATAAACCAGGCCTAACATATTTAGAATGTTTGCTGACTCAAGTGTCCTTTCTGGTCATTGCCCCCCCCCCCCTCCTCACTTTCGAGGTGCTTCGGCAGCCTCTGTTCTTTGTCAATTTCACGTATGTACGTACAACAAAACTTCTAGGACAAGTTTTTGGTTGTCTGAGCGCCACGATAACTATTATTATTATATGGCTTTTCAAAATTCTCTATTCTGATTGGTTGACAAGCGGTCCGTAAAAACCCATATCCGGACCGTGGTCCGTATTTTCCGTATCTGGACCGGTGTCCCGGATGTCGTTTATGTGGTGGGAAATTTTTGCTTTGCAAACAGAAATTTTTTTTTGCTTTTTAAATTTCCAATTGTGCTCTACAGATAAAAATTTCAAACAACCAAATTGTTTTCGATTGAGCATGCATGCCTACTGTATATTGTTACCCAGTGAAACTGACGATAGCCGATTTAATTAATTCGCGCGAAAAGCATATGCCCACAGACTCAGTTCAGCCATATAATAAACCGATTATTGACCTCGCTTGTTCGGTCTGTACTGTGAAATATCAGACCTCTGTTTTTTGCATGGGCCTCGCTGCTTCGTCGCTCGGTCCATACTAAAAAACCTCGGTCTGATATTTCACAGTACAGACCTCACGCTCGGTCAATAAGCCGTTATTATAGATTGCAGCTATAGACTAAATGTTGATCTAGGCAAGAAGAACAAAATCCATCAGCACAGCTAGAAAGAGCATGTTAAAATTAGTAAAATTGCAAAGTTTGGTTGCCCAAATATAGCCCTACGAAATTTGGAAATTTTGTAGTAATTTGTATTACGCGCGGGGAAATGCACCACATTTGGGCCGAAAGTGGTGCATAAATTTGCAAATTTCGCAGGGGTATATTTTCCGCATTTTACAACATTTCGCGTCCGAACTTTGCAATTTTACTACTTTTAACATGCTCTTTCTAGCCGTGTGGTGATGGATTTTGTCCTTCTTACCCAGATCAAAATTTAGTCAATAGCGGATCATCTATTTTTTCTACGACAATGGACTTGTTGTAGCCGGCTTAAGCCACACTGCGGGCATGATATGTGCACTAGGGATTAATAAATTCACTATAAATAATCACCTCAGAGACAGAGGCCTCTAAGCCGCGAATTCCAAAATTTGCAAAACAAAAGTGCGCAATCATTTTTCAACTATTGAAATGACATATTGTTTGAATTTGAATGCCTCAGCATTCTGTTGAACCCACATATGCATAAAAGCTTGACATAAATATATTTTATGCATAAAAAAACTGCTTTAAATTCCCAAGCCCAAGAGCGGAAAATCGTGCGCTTTAGTTACAAAGATATTTTAATTTCTTAATAAGTCAATATTTACAATAGTCAATATATGCACCCTGTCAATATTTTATGCATCTTTGCGTTCAGCTTAGTGGCGCATTCAAATTCCAAGAATACGTTATTCAATAGTTTTGGACTTTTTTGGGACACCCTGTATCACAAACAAATGGTGCTGGATTTTCTTGGGTTCGCCTATTTTAAAAAATGTATTCACAGGTTTTTCTAAGTATGGTGTTCGGTTCAGTTTTGGGCTTTATTTTGTCGCTATTTGGCCCCCACTATTTGCCTAGATTTTTAAACCGCAATAAAGTATGCGGAGAACAGTTTGTTGGTACTGAAACACGAGCGACAAATGTGGAGACAAACAAATTATACGGCAACAAACTTCTCTTTATTGGAGTTATGACCGCTGCAAAATACTTAGACACGAGAGCTACGGCTGTGAATCGAACTTGGGCTAGCGATATCCCAGGACATATGGAATTCTTTGTGAGTTTTGACAAGTCAAAGTCGTTCGACGACAAACGTAAACAAATGCCAATCCGAATTTTACACGGAGTCGAAGACAACGAATATCCACCTCAGAAAAAAGTCATGGCAATGCTGAGATATATGTATGAAAACTACATCGACCATTACGAATGGTTTATGCGAGCAGACGACGACGTTTATATAAGGACACACAAGCTTAAAGAATTTTTACGGAGCTTGGATAGTACCGAGGATGTAGTGGTTGGACAGGGGGGTACAGGTAAAAGCGACGAGGTCAATAGATTGGGTTTGAAGAAAAATGAATGTTATTGTATCGGTGGACCTGGGGTTATTATGAGTAGAAATGTGTTGAAGAAAATTGCTCCGAACATGGAGAGATGTTTGGAGGAGACCGCGTCAGATCACGAGGACGTCGAATTGGGACGGTGTATTCGAAAATACGCGGGTGTATCGTGCTTGTGGGCTGAAGAGGTGGGTAAGCCTGCGCCTGAGCAGGGAATGATTGCCTGATGTCCTCAGCAGCGCATGAGGAGTCGCATGAGGAGTAACTTTGAGTGCATTGTTTCCAGCTGGACTTGACTTCCACTAACTGACTTAATAATCATTTGATTGGTTAATCGGGTAGATTAAACGCATCTGATTGGTTAATCAGAATCTCTATAAGGCCATATTAAGCAATCCTACTATTCCGGAGTCAGTTCTCCTTCATTGCTCAAGAGGACACCAACGCCCGTATTCTAAAAGCTCACTCACACTCAATGAGTGGATGTTCAATCTGAGCTTCTCTCGAGTGTCATTGCTGTTTTTCAATAGCTCTCACCCTCCAGCTATTAAAAAACAGCATTGACACTGAAGAGAAGCTCAGATTGAACTTCCACTCTTTGAGTGTGATTGAGCTTTTAGAATACAGGTGTAAGGCGACAGCAGTTTTTGCCAAGGATTTTAACATACATACTGGGAGGCCAGGCAATTGGCCCCACTAGTTAGTGGCTCAGACTGGGCCCAAACCTTACCCCTGACCATAGATATCTTATATACACTAGATAGCGCATCTCTTTTAGTAAAATTGATATGAAGCCAAGAATATTCCAGCGGTTACCCCCATTTGAATAGATGGCGGCCATGTTGGTAGTTCCACTTGCTAATAAACGCTTAAAAAACAACAATAACTTTCATCATTTGAATAGTTTAAAAATGTATTTGGAATAGGTTTAACTTAATGCTTAAACAGGGGTTTAAGAAATAGAAAACATACGAATCTTCTCATTTCATGGGAATATCCTGAGTCTGCAATCACGGCTTCAATTTTTGAATTGCAGGATAATTAGATGCACCATCTAGTGAATATAAGATATCTATGACCCTGACTGACCAAAATCTCACTCTGGGGAGTCCACACTGGGCTCTAATCTAGGTTTTTGCCCTCCACTGTAAACGTATAAAAATGCACTGATTGTTGCGGCATATTAAAGTTAACTTGTTTCACCAATTGTTGCATGACAAGTCTGGAAAAAAATGCTATCATCGTAACAAGGTTGATGAGATCAACAGACATGGAACAAGTCGTTCCAACAAGTCTGATATCATCTGCGCGTGACAAATTGTTAACAAGTTGATGACAACAAGCTCGTAGCAACTTGTTACGAACAGCCTGTATTGGTCTTGTTGGGACAACTTGTAACAAGTCTGTTACCGTCATCAATATTGTAACAAGATGATAACAACTTGTTCCAGACTTGTCACAACAACTGGGAACAAGCAGTGCGAACACATCCTGATATCAGCTTCACAACAACTTTGTTACAACTTGTTTGCAGATCGGCAAGGTGAGATTATAATTTATTTGACTTAATCTCGTCATCTTTTCTTGAAGGCGAAAGAACTTTTCCAACAAGTGTACAAAGAACAGGAGAAAGCTTATCACGGTGTTTTAGATGAAGCGAAAATTGATAAGGCATTAACATTGCACCCTGTGAAAGACCCAGCTTATATGTTTCGACTACACTACCATTTCATGTCCATAAATCTCTTCAAACTTCACTTCCGCGGATATAAAACTAATGGAATGCTCTCAACAACCAAAAGAATATTATCTGGTGAAATAAATCCAATGTCCTTCGCGAACAGGTCAAGAAAGACAGACTTTTACTTGCGAGCAAACGGCAGCTCTAAGCTAGAATGGGAATATTTAACACAACAAAAACATTCGAAGACCATTCAACATTTCGATTTGAAAAATCACAAATCATATTTAATGTTCAAAAATGCAGACGGTATGAAAAAGGCTTTAGCAATAACAATGCACGAATTGAACGAAGAGCATAGAAAAACATTAAACCGAAAAACTAAATCAAAGATAACGCTTGAAAATATAAATTATGGGTATTTGAGGGTAAACCCGAAATACGGTGCACAGTATCAACTGTGTCTATCCATAAAGTATCCTCACGGACAACTTAAGTACCCCTGGCACCCTCCAAAACCCGCGTACCACTGGGCACATGTGGACCAAGCTTTTTCGACAATTCAAGGAAGAATTCAAGCAGATATGAAGAGAATAACTGTGCATTTTATTGTACCTCTACAAGAAAAATACGAAGAATTAAGAAGATTTTTAGCAAGTGTAAAAGAAGCCTTCCTTATACATAGCGAACCAATCGCAGTGCTTGTAGTATACTTCCCAGAATCCTCCTCGCCGGAGAAACACATTCAGCATATCAACGAATTAAAGGTCGAGTTCCCGGAGACGAAGTTCGTATGGTTACAAATCCCCGGGGAGTTTAACCGTGCCAAAGCTTTGCAAAAGGGCGCAAAGCACCTCGGGAACGATTCGCTACTTTTTTTCTCCGATATTGATTTAGTTTTCCGAAGGGAATTTGTTTACCGCTGCCGTGGCAACACTATACGAGGTAAACAAGTGTACATGCCACTATTGTTTGGCCAGTATAACCCTGATGTTGTTTACTTCAACAAGAAGAGGACAACAGAGACGAATTTTGTTTACACAAAACCTGCTGGGCGTTGGCGCATTTACGGTTATGGGCCTGTGTGTATATACGAAAGTGACGTCATGGCCGTGGGAGGCCTGAACACTAATATCAAAGGCTGGGGCAAGGAAGATACGGATTTTGCAAGCAGGGTTGTAGAACATGGATTAACTATATTCCGAGCTCCTGATCAAGGAATTGTTCATGTATTTCATCGGCATGTGCCTTGTGATGAGAATCTAGCAGAAGATCAGAGATATCAATGCAAGATGGCTACTTTATCAACATACGCACCAAAGACTGAAGCAGTAGATTATTTAATTGCCAAACGATATATCGAATAGGTGGATTTCATTTCTAGGATAATTTTTCTAATTACACTGACCTGAAAGGTCAAGTGTCTTAAATCCCTAATTTTCTGTTTTCTTCTGTTTTCTTCGTCGTCGAGAAATCCAGTTTGCGTTAGCGCATCGCAGGCTCAGGGTGCAACGATTAAGCCAAAATGCCATCATTTAAATATTATAGTAACAAGCTCGTATTTATGTACGTAATAGCCAGGTCATGCCATGCTTGCGGTACATTTTTCGTTTATTATTATGTCCCCTTGCATTCAAGACAGCAGTGGAAAAAAACACTCAATCAAATAAATATTAAGAAATCAACTGGCCCTTTCGACCCGCCTCAGAAAATCATAAAATGCTTTTCCAAAGAAATATCCTTTCCATTAACGCGGATGTCTACTTTAAAGGAAAGACGTGAAAAACATTGTGTGGAACTTATCAGGAAAATGTCGACGGAGGGACATAGACTCCGTTATATCTGCTTCCAGCAAAGGTTGGAGAACTAAGACAAAAAGATACTAGATCTAATGATGACAAATACTATAATTTTAAATGTCGGACAGAACGTTTTAGGAAGAGTCCATTAGTCTACGCTATAATAGTTATAATAATAGTTTTAGATATAGGTTCAAGGTTTAATTGATAATTGTAAACATATTTAAGTATTTATAGTCTCTAATAATTTAATCCTTGTAAATACATGGTAATTAAGGACTCCTTTTTCATAATAATTAACAATTAGACAACGAAGCCACGTTGTCTATGAGCGAACGCAGGACCAAGTTCGTAGCAAGTTCAATGTATGAAATTACGCATAAACTAGCGCCAAAACTACGGCAAAAGCGTTAGCTAATACTTTTCTGCAGACACCTTCCTCCCAATATTACAATTTACGAGGCTTCTAATTCACTAAGCTCTTTTTGCCTCATCCTCTCTCTGACTTTCTTAAAATAGGAATAGCCTCTCAGGACTCAGAAGAGTTAAGACTAACGCCCGTATTCTAAAAGCTCACTCACACTCACATGCACTCAATGAGTGGAGGTTCAATCTGAGCTTCTTTCGAGTGTCAGTGCTGTTTTGGAATAGCTGGAGGGGGTTAGCGTCGTATCTTACTATGCGACTACTCACCTTCCCGCTATTCAAAAACAAACAGCATTGACACTCAAGAGAAGCTCAGATTGAACCTGCACTCATTGAGTGTGAGTGAGCTTTTAGAATACGGGCGTAAGGATTCTCTTTATTCCTTTAATCAATATTGTATTTTTATTTAAATATGTACGTAGTGTATATATGTAGTGTAGTGTCTCTGATGTAAATATGTTTTAATTTTATATGAATACCTACGCCCCCCTTGAAAATCAGCTTTCTGCTGTAGGGCGGGTTAGCGTGGTTAAATAATGTTTTACCTACCTACCTTTCTAAAGCTACTGTAGCATACAGCTTTTGAAGAAGCGTACTTGTCATGGTAAAAATTGGTAAAGTTGCCGAGCTATACGAGCAAATAAACCTGTCATGTGAAGACTTGCTCTTTCGTAGCAACCGCCTTAAGCCACTCTGCGGGCATGATATGTGCACTAGGGATTCATGAATTCACTATAAATAATCACCTCAGAGGCCCCTAAGCGAATTCCAAAATTTGCAAAACAAAAGTGCGCAATCATTTTTCAGCAAAATATACACTAGGGAGTCCCAAAAAAACAAAAGTATTGAAATGACATATTGTTAGAATTTGAATGCCTCAGCACTCTGCTGAACCCACACGTGCATAAAAGCTTGACATAAGTAAATGTTATGCATAAAGAAACTGTTTAAGAAGCTGCTTTAAATTCCCAAGAGCAGAAAATCGTGCGCTTTACAAAGATATTTTAATTTCTTAATAAGTCAATATTTATAATACAGTATATGCACCCTATCAATATTTTACGCATCTTAATTTGCGTTCAGCCTAGTGGCGCATTCAAATTCCAACAATACGTTATTTCAATAGTTTTGGGATTTTCTGGGACACCCTGTATCACAAACAAATGGTGCGGTATTTCCTTGGCAGCTATTGAATTTCGAAAAACAAAAACATTCATGCGTTCGAGCTTGACTAATTATTAATTAAATTGAATTGAAAATCATTTTGTTAATTGTAGCTTCAAACGGGTGTATATTAAAGTTCCCACGCTATGCCTGCAAAGGAACTGGGAAAAAGCAAAATGATTTAAACTGGGTTCGCTTATTTAAAAAAATGTACTCGCAGGTTTTTCTAAGTATGGTGCTCGGTTCGGTTTTGGGCTTTATTTTATCGCTATTTGGCCCCCACTATTTGCCTAGATTTTTAAACCGCAATAAAGTATGCGGAGAACAGTTTGGTGGTACTGAAACACAAGCGACGAATGTAGAGACAAACAAATTATACGGCAACAAACTTCTCTTTATTGGAGTTATGACCGCTGCAAAATACTTAGACACGAGAGCTACGGCTGTAAATCGAACTTGGGCTAGCGATATCCCAGGACATATGGAATTCTTTGTGAGTTTTGACAAGTTAAAGTCTTTCGACGACAAACGTAAACAAATGCCAATCCGAATTTTACACGGAGTCGAAGACAACGAATATCCACCTCAGAAAAAAGTCATGGCAATGCTGAGATATATGTATGAAAACTATATCGACCATTACGAATGGTTTATGCGAGCAGACGACGATGTTTATATAAGGACACACAAGCTTAAAGAATTTTTACGGAGCTTGGATAGTACCGAGGATGTAGTGGTTGGACAGGGGGGTACAGGTAAAAGCGACGAGGTCAATAAATTGGGTTTGAAGAAAAATGAATGTTATTGTATCGGTGGACCTGGGGTTATTATGAGTAGAAATGTGTTGAAGAAAATTACTCCGAATATGGAGAGATGTCTGGAGGAGACCGCGTCAGATCACGAGGACGTCGAATTGGGACGGTGTATTCGAAAATACGCGGGTGTATCGTGCTTGTGGGCTGAAGAGGTGGGTAAGCCCGCGCCTGAGCAGGGAATGATTGGCTGATGTCCTCAGCAGCGCATGAGGAGTCGCACGAGGAGTAACTTTGAGTGCATTGTTTCCAGCTGGACTTGACTTCCACTAACTGACTTAATAATCATTTGATTGGTTAATCGGGTAGATTAAACGCATCTGATTGGTTAATCTGAATCTCTCTAAGATAATTTCCAAGGCCATATTAAGCAATCCTACTATTCCGGAGTCAGTTCTCCTTCATTGCTCAAGAGGACACCAACGCCCGTATTCTAAAAGCTCACTCACACTCAATGAGTGGAAGTTCAATCTGAGCTTCTCTCGAGTGTCATTGCTGTTTCACCCTCCAGCTATTCAAAAACAGCAATGACACTCAAGAAAAGCTCAGATTGAACTTCCACTCATTGAGTGTGAACGTGATTGAGCTTTTAGAATACAGGCGTAAGGCGACAGCAGTTGTTGCCAAGGCATATTTTAACATACATACTGGGAGGCCAGGCAATTGGCCCCACTAGTTAGTGGCTCAGACTGGGCCCTAACCTTACCCCTGACCATAGATATCTTATATACACTAGATAGCGCATCTCTTTTAGTAAAATTGAAGCCAAGAATATTCCAGCGGTTACCCCATTTGAATAGATGGCGGCCATGTTGGTAGTTCCTACCTGCTAATAAACGCTAACAATAACTCTCATCATTTGAATAGTTTTAAAAAAATGTATTTGGAATAGGTTTAACTTAATGTTTCAGTTTCCTGTTTAAGAATAGAAAGCATACGAATCTTCTCATTTCATGGGAATATCCTGAGTCTGCAATCACGGCTTCAATTTTTGAATTGCAGAATAATGAGATGCACCATCTAGTGTATATAAAATATCTATGACCCTGACTGACCAAAATCTCACTCTGGGGAGTCCACACTGGGCTCTACTCTGGGTTTTTGCCCTCCAATGTAAACGTATAAAAATACACTGATTGTTGCGGTATATTAAAGTTAACTTGTTTCACCAATTGTTGCGTGACAAGTCTGGAAAAAAATGCCATCATCGTAACAAGGTTGATGAGATCAACAGACATGGAACAAGTCGTCCAATCAAGTCTGATATCATCTGCGCGTGACAAGTTGTTAACAAGTTGATGACAACAAGCTCGTAGCAACTTGTTACGAACAGCCTGTATTGGTCTTGTTGGGACAACTTGTAACAAGTGTGTCACCGTCATCAATATTGTAACAAGATGATAACAACTTGTTCCAGACTTGTCACAACAACTGGGAACAAGCAGTGCGAACACATCCTGATATCAGCTTCACAACAACCTTGTCACAACTTGTTTGCAGATCTGTATAAGGTGAAACCAGCCTAGTCCCAGTCGTTCTGAAGCAAGCGCGAGAAAAAAGTGGATGTAGTACGAGACTGGGACCTAGGTGTGACGTCACCGCTCAAGGTGCTTCGGAACGCCTAGCAGATTTCAGTATTTTTAATATGGCGGAAAATTAATATATACAAGTAACCTTTTAATTATAAATACGACAATGTTCGTTCATCATGTACATGTTCGATGTCTACATAACCAAACCAAACTGTATTAAAAATGTGCTCAACTAAAAAAAATTATATACAAATTTACGATACCGAGTTTAAGCAATCGTTGATGTTATTTATGTATATACTCGCAAGTTGTGATCAACACTAGACCACACTGGTATACACAACTACGCTTTCTACTTGACAGGTTTAAATTGCTGAGGAGATTGGAAATATTTGCCTGACATGACGGTGTTGTCAAAACATTCTTAGTCGGAGACTCGGCATAATTTTCAAGCTTCTAGATAGCATTTAATATGGCTATATATTTTAGCAAACACGAGTCATATTTAGCCCGTTATTCCATTCTGACCGTATGGCCGCGAAACGTAGCCTACTGTACTTCATTGTTCCGACAGCATTAGAGCAAAACTAATTACTTAATTATAAATGCAAAGGAAATTTCCATAACATTTTCCATTTGCAAATGAGGTATGCTTGGTAACCAGGCCAGGGACCACTTTTTTGAAATCAGGGACTATTTTACCGAAATCTGCTAGGCTCTCTCGCTGAAGCGTTCCGCACAGCACACCCAGGCATAAAACTTTTAAGACTTATTTAAATATATCAAGGCAGCGAATAGAAAGAGAGCCTGGGACTAGGCTGAGGTGAAACTATAATTTATTTGACTTAATTAATCTCGTCATCTTTTCTTGAAGGCGAAAGAACTTTTCCAACAAGTGTACAAAGAACAGGAGAAAGCTTATCACGGTGTTTTAGATGAAGCGAAAATTGACAAGGCATTAACATTGCACCCAGTGAAAGACCCCGCTTATATGTTTCGACTACACTACCATTTCATGTCCATAAAGCTCTTCAAACTTCACTACCGTGGATACAAAACTAATGGAATGCTCTCAACAACCAAAAGAATATTATCTGGTGAAATAAATCCCATGTCCTTCGCGAACAGGTCAAGAAAGACGCCAGCTCTAAGCTAAAATGGGAATATTTAACACAACAAAAACATTCGAAGACCATTCAACATTTCGATTTGAAAAATCACAAATCATATTTAATGTTCAAAAATGCAGACGGTATGAAAAAGGCTTTAGCAATAACAATGCACGAATTGAACGAAGAGCATAGAAAAACATTAAACCGAAAAACTAAATCAAAGATAACGCTTGAAAATATAAATTATGGGTATTTGAGGGTAAACCCGAAATACGGTGCACAGTATCAACTGTGTCTATCCATAAAGTCTCCTCACGGACCACTCAAGTACCCCTGGCACCCTCCAAAACCCGCCTACCACTGGGCACATGTGGACCAAGCGTTTTCGACAGTTCAAGGAAGAATTCAGGCAGATATGAAGAGAATAACTGTGCATTTTATTGTACCTCTACAAGAAAGACACGAAGAATTAAGAAGGTTTTTAGCAAGTGTAAAAGAAGCCTTCCTTATACATAGCGAACCAATCGCAGTGCTTGTAGTATACTTCCCAGAATCCTCCTCGCCGGAGAAACACATTCAGCATATCAACGAATTAAAGGTCGAGTTCCCAGAGACGAAGTTCGTGTGGTTACAAATCCCCGGGGAGTTTAACCGTGCCAAAGCTTTGCAAAAGGGCGCAAAGTACCTCGGGAACGATTCGCTACTTTTTTTCTCCGATATTGATTTAGTTTTCCAAAGGGAATTTGTCTACCGCTGCCGTGGCAACACTATACGAGGTAAACAAGTGTACATGCCAATATTGTTTGGCCAGTATAACCCTGATGTTGTTTACTTCAACAAGAGGAGGACAACAGAGACGAATTTTGTTTACAGAAAACCTGCTGGGCGTTGGCGCATTTACGGTTATGGGCCTGTGTGTATATACGGAAGTGACGTCATGGCCGTGGGAGGTCTGAACACTAATATCAAAGGCTGGGGCAAGGAAGATACGGATTTTGCAAGCAGGGTTGTAGAACATGGATTAACTATATTCCGAGCCCCTGATCAAGGAATTGTTCATGTATTTCATCGTCATGTACCTTGTGATGAGAGTCTAGCAGAAGATCAGAGATATCAATGCAAGATGGCTACTTTATCAACATACGCGCCAAAGATTGAAGCAGTAGATTATTTAATTGCCAAACGATATATCGAATAGGTGGATTTCATTTCTAGGATAATTTTTCTAATTACTTATAGCACGAAGATAAACGTTAATGATAGGAAAAAGACATAAAAAAGTTTCAATTTAATTTATTCACTAGATTTAATAAATATAGATTTAATTAATTACATTCAATGTTAATGGAGATTTGTTTTTGAGTATCCATCAATATTTAATCTATCACGGGCTTTGACTTTGTCTTTGACCGCAGGAAACTAAAACGCCTGGGTTGATGCATAGTCTATCGAGATATGATGGTCTGGATACTGAACAGAAGTCATTGTGTCATGATCATGTTTTTGTCTAAGTTGATGTTGATTTGTGCACGGTCAAAATGATTGAGCTCATTGTATTTTGGTATAGTGAAGTAATCATCCAATAAGGATAGCTGAGATGAAACGTGAAACAAGGTTGAACAATATTTAATGAAGTTGAAACAAAGGATTCGTGCATGGTGAGGTACATGTAGTTCAACACCAAACAAAGCTCTTCTATTTTGTAGCTTTGAAGTTCGCCAGGCTTCCAGACAATCATATCTTCACAGTTTGTCGTTAATGAGAGCATAATGAATGAAGATTCGATCTGGAAACTAGGAAAGTCTTTGTCTATCTTCTTTTCATGTTCATGCAAGCTTTGTGCACGCTGAAGACACAATTAATTTTTGGCGTACTGAAGCACCCGTCTAATGGCATCGTCTATAGTCGAATCCACTCAATCGTACTGGTTAAAATATCAACCGCAGGCAAAATTTCAAAAGATTTGTGCACGGCGAAACCGCCTCAACATAAAATCGCAGCTAATTATATACGCTATAAGTAGTTTACCAAACTTTCAGATCATATCTTGATAGACTAAGGCCACTAAAATACATTTATTTAAAGTGACACTAACGCCAGATATGATTATGTGTAATATTTGGGTCATTCTAAGAAAAAATGTAATATATCTTTATAGTAAAAAACCTCATCTTGATCAATTTTTTCACTGACAAGGTCACCAAACCCGACATTAGGTGAAAAAACCAACTTTACAATTCATCTAATGACATCATATACTGAACGTGCCAGCGGCTCGCCCGGTATGGACGCACTCAGAGACAACATCACAGTGAGAAAGTTGATCAAGATGAGATGTTTTTACTGTAAAGAAATATCACATTTCGTCCTAAAATGACCCAAATATTAAACGTAATAATCATATTTGGTGTTGCACTTAAAAAGCAGCCTTCATAAAAGGTTATATGATACGATCTGCTATACATATCCCTTGGCTAACATATACTCTACCAGTGATTCTTCTGACCCTATACCTCGCCTTCTCGAGTCTTCGCACATTTTCACCTGCTCGCTGTTCATTCTCGGATCCAGGCAGTTCGTCTGAGCATGATAGACGTGAACTAGTCCCAGGTCGGGCGCGCGAAACACTTCCAAATTATGATCCAAGCATTTTTCGTAGAAATCCAAATCTTCCAGTCCCCATCCACGAATGTTAGTGTTCAGTCCACCGGCCGCGATGACGTCGTTAGAATACACGCACACCGGACCGTAGCTGTACTTTCGCCAGACCCCTGCTCGGCTGGTGAAAGTTCTACTTCTCCAGTGGGGTGTAAACCTAGAACTATTTTCACTGGGTGGTACAGAATGATTGTAATACACGATCTGCGGATTGAACTGACTGAACATGATTGGAAAATAAACCCGCTTGCCAAGAATAGCGCCTGCTCGACAACGGTTATAAAATTCCGTTTCAAAAATAAGATCCACGTCAGCAAAAAAGAGCAACGAGTCGTTCCCGTTACGGTGAACACCGAACCCTAACGCTCGGGCACGCGAGAACTCTCCGAGCAGTTCCGACCATGCGAGTTCGACTCCCGGATGTTTGGCGCGAAATTCATCAAAAACGTTTTTATGCCTTTCGGGTGAAGAAACATCAGGAAAATATACAATAAGGAGAGAAACAGCAAGTCGTGCGTTTAGAAAGGCTTCTTCAAAGCTATTCAAAAACCGTAGAAACGTTTCAAACCTTCCCGTTAAAGGTACAATGAAGTGAATTCCGGGCTTGCATGTTTCGGCGGGAAAAATTTCGCTCAATGTATTTTTCCATAAGGGAGCGAAACTTTGTTGAAAATGCGAGAAACGCTGCGTGCGACGCGGGAACTTCGCGTGTGTTGTGCCCAATGGTTTTAGAAGCGTTTCCACACTGATTGCCAGTTGTAGACCCATGCTGGGGTGGGTTCGTAGGGTTGCTAAATGAAACTTTTTGAATTCCTCTTGAGATTTGAGTAATCTGCGAGCTTCCATATTGATATTACTCATCACTCCAGACTTTAGTTTCTTGACACCCTCCAGCATAGGACCGCTGACCCAAGACAACGGCGGCTCGCTCAGGCCATACAAGTACTGGTTGTTGAAGAACTCCCAGTGAATGGTACTGTTGCTTGGCAACAACCCGTAGAAATACGATTTCTGAAAATGCCGAGTTTTGTTCTTCGAATCTCGCAGCAGGTTTCGGACCTTCCGGATTCGGTGATTCAAGATGGCTGCTCGATGTTGTCGGTTGAGAAAGTCAGAAGTTAAAAAGTGATGGTGTAAGTGAAGCATGTAGGATGGTTCTTTGATTGGATGAACTGTAATGGCGTTTCTGAAGGGGCTGTTGCTCAAACTGCCAGCAAAAGCTCGCTCGGGTCTTTCGAAATTTTGATAAAACATGTGTTGAAGCTTTTGGAAAGAAAATAAAAGACAATAAGATAAGAAGAGTATATAGTACCGGAATATCAAATACTTACAATAAAATACATACAAATGATTTCAATGACTTCAGACATGTTTACTCTGTTTCAACACTCCAGTCTATATAGTGTCTTCATCAGGAATGATGTAAAGTCACAAGAACATATTACATTCACGACCCAACGTTTGAACACCCCAGTCTAGTGTCTTCATCAGGAGTGATGTAAAAACACAATGAACATATTACATTCAGGACCCAACGTTTCAACACTCCAGTCTAGTGTCTTCATCAGGAGTGATGTAAAGTCACAATGAACATATTATATTCACGATCCAACGTTTCAACACTCCAGTCTAGTGTCTTCATCAGGAGTGATGTAAAGTCACAATGAACATATTATATTCACGATCCAACGTTTCGATACTCCAGTCTAGTGTCTTCATCAGGAGTAATGGAGTAAAGTCACAATGAACATATTACATTCACAACCCAACATGGTCTAGTGTCTTCATCAGGGATCCTATATACTTGCAAGATTACTTCATTACTGCTAGCAATGCACCACGAGAGTTATCTTCACTTTATTGGGCGGTGACGTCATCTCTCACCCTGCAACTTTAATTAAATCACTCCTGATGAAAACACTAGCTAAACTGACTCGGTGTCGGAAACGTTCGGTGGTAAATGAAATTTGAATTAATTTACCTAAACCAAAATATTTCTGATACTATACAGGTTGCCGTGACTTATAAATTTTAATTTCAATAATTGAATGACTTTATTGATTGGAACATACCTCTTGAGCCCACGGGCACATCACGCCAACATGCTTGCGGATGCATCTTCCCAACTCCGAATCTTCATGTAAGCTTGCAGTTTCGTTTAAACATGTCAACAAATATGGCGCTACTTTCTTGACCACACTTTGACTCATAACAACCCCAACACCACCGATGCAAAAATTATCACCGTCTTCGAGCCCAAGCTTGCCTTTTTCATGAGATTTTCCTACCCCTGCTTGACCAAACAGCAAGTCTTCGGAACTATCAAAATTACGCAGTACCTCAGAGAGTCTGTCACTTCGAATATATACATCGTCATCAGCTCGCACGAACCAATGAAATTCATTGATATAGTGTTCAAAAATATACTTTAGCATATAAAACGACTTGTTCTGAGGTGGGTAGCTATCATCCACTCCAGGGAGACGGACGAAGTCAGAATCCATGCTTGTATTGCCTTGCTCACCACAGAAAAATATAACCTTTACAGAGTCTAAGGTATTGAATGCCCAAGACCCCCGAATTGTTTTAGCTCTCGTCGTAATATAACGCTCAGCTGTCATAACTCCAATCAGCAAGAAATATTTCACTGGTTTTAACTCCATAGATATATTCAAATGTCTCATTTCTGGTCTCGTAGCAGTAGGTATCCGTTGCTCTTGTTTTGGTCTGGGCGATTTGCATTTGACCTTGTCCTTGACTATGCGAAAAAAGCATTGCCTAGTAATATATGAAAATGAAAGTCCCAAAATCATCCCAAATATCAAAGCTACAACAACTTTTATGTAGTACGTTCTTGGCAAGATTCCTCGACGACGAAATGGTCGCTTTAAGCGAGTCATAGCATGAGTATATGTATCCAGACATTGCTTCACATAGACCTGCCATGATCTGACATATTTATTCAAATACAAAGGAGAACTCGAAGTCAAAGAAAGGCGCTTAACCAAGCATGAAATTAAGAGTTATGCATGCCTATGCAATACAGACAACACTTGATACAAAACTTTGCATATTTTATACTAAAAAGTATATTTTGCATATTTTATACTACAAAACTTTTGTTTTGTATTATAACAAAAGTACATTTCACATTTTTAAATTTTTTATACGTTTCTCAAGCGGCAAACAAACTTAAAAAGTATGTTTAGTCCTTTATCTGTAAAATAATGTTATAAATGAAGAGATTTTAGATGGTACGCCAAAGAGAAAATGATGTCTGAAGTTCAGTAAGTTTTGGTTATATGACCTTATACATATATTGTTGTAAATATGGCGACACTTTTAAAGCATCGTCGATAATTGTATTTTAAGTAGACAATTCTAACTATCGACTAATTTTTTATCTAGACAAGAAAGACGAAATATATCATTATAGCTCAAAAGAGCATCCTAAAATTACTAGTAAAATTGCAAAGTTTGGTTGCGAAATGTTGTAAAATACGGAAAATATATATAGCCTTGTGAAATTAGCAAAGTTTGAGTATTTTAGTAAATATTACGCGCGGTAAAAATAACCACTTTCGGCTCAAAAATGGTTATTTTTACCACGCAATTTCTCGTTTCTCCCAAACTTCCACGCGTGTTTCTATAACTCTATAGAAACACAGAAAATGTTTCCTATTTCTTAAATATAAATTTAAAAGACATATGAATTTTATTCTTAGTTTTTTGGGTTGAGTGCTAAAATTGGTTAAGTTGAGTTTTAATACAATAAATTCACAGTTGTTGTTACAAAATTTGCAATAAACGCCGCCCTCGAATAAACGCCGCCCTCAAATAAACGCCACACCTGAAGCGCCAAAAATTTAATAAACGCCGCGGCGTTTATTCGAATAATTACGGTATGCATGACACATAATTCGCTGGCGAAGGTATGCAGTGTCCGAGTGTCCTCTAGCATAGCATGTCCTGACCGTTTTAAATTTTCCTTTTTTATTGTTTTTCTACTTTTCATTTTTAAACCAATGAAGGCAATAAATATTTTTAAAGGCAATCTCAAGTGCGCATTAAGAATCATTCATTATCGCACCGTGTATTAACGGCTTTTTATTTCTGAACTCTCATATATGTGTCCTGACTAGTCAGACCTGTCCCCATCAATCCTTTGACCAACACTAACCTTAAGTAGCATCATCACAATGAGGACTTTATCTTTTCACAATAAATCACTCCATCTCTTTGAAGTTCGTCAATACTATCCTGTGAATATCCACATTCCTGAAGAGCTTCGCTGGTGTGTTCCCCAAGCCTTGGTTGCCTTGTATCGTTAGGTCTTCCTGGAGTTCTTGCAAGCTTAGGTGCTGGGGCCGGTTCGTGTGTACCATCAGAATTTTGTAAAAACACATCATTTGCAACGTTGTGTGGGTGTTCGGTGGCTTCGGAAAGACTCAACACAGGTGTTACACAAGCATCTGTGCCATCGAAAATCTCGCACCATTCTTGCCGAGTTTTGGTTGAAAATATTTCAGTGAATCTTGCTCTCATCTTAGGCCAAATACTTGCATCTAATTGATTGGGAAATTCCTCCTCCAGGGCTAACCCTAGGGATTAAGATAAAATACGCATTAAAGAATGCACAAAGCCCCACTCAAAGGACTGCACCTATGAATTTGAGGATGGTTTCACGGCTCATGGAAATCTTTGACCCGCAACTGTCGTTGTTGAGTGAAATAGTCTTGTCTTTCGTGAAATGCTTTTGCTTATGACAAAAAATATATGAATTCGATACCTATAACCTTGATGAATAAAATTATCTGGTGTTAGACAGAGTAAAACAACAAACTAGGGTGCATTTCCCCCTGATGAATAAAATTGTCTGGTTTTAGAGTAAAAATAACAAAGTAGGGTTTGATGGCAATTAAAGCCCCGTTTACACTACGCTCAATTTTTGGTACGGCACGGATAAAATTGGTACCTGTACCACTTTTTGGTTCTTGGGCTACCTAAATATAGGTTCTTGGACTACCTAAATATAGGTCTTCCTGGAGTTCTTGCAATTCTACCTAAATATAGGTAGTCCAAGAACCAAAAACGTGGTACGGATACCAATTTTATCCGTGCCGTACCAAAAATTGAGCGTAGTGTAAACGGGACTTAAATGGTTAACACAACACATGGGCAGATAGCTTGGTTAATCCATTGAGTACCAGCAAAAATCATCTGGCGTTAGACAGAGTACAATGTACAACAAAGTACAAGTCTGTCAAGTACATTAGTGCATGCACTGCCAATTAATTAAATGGTTATGTAGTCAAGTGAGGTTACTGTACCTTTAAGAAGAAGTTTATAAAACTGTGGTTCTAAAGCACCAACAGCAACGTATTCACCATCAGATGTCTGGTACGTGTCATAAAATGGTGCTCCACTATCAAGCAAGTTGGTACCACGATCACCAGACCACATTCCAAGTTCTGTTGTTTTATGAACAAATGATGATAAATAGGCCACTCCACTCACCTATATTGGGGAGATACAGTTTTGTTACCTGATTGGTAGCATACACATATTAGACTAGCACATTGCACGGGCCATTCAACAACTAGAAAATGATCACATCCATGCAACTAATTAGAATCTAGTATTTGTATGCTCGATATCCCATAAACTGTCTCATAGCAAGCTTCATAGCAATTACAGCGAGTTTATGTGATTCATAAAAGACATTCCATGTTCTAAGGCATTCTATCTATAACCCATAGAACACATGTAACCATTCCCTATCCCTTACTTATATCATCAAATTTTGATATCAACCTCTAAGTGAAAATAAAATTCAAAAACATTTCCAGGACTTTCAAGTACTTTTACAAGTTAAAATTCAGGGACCTCACCTAATAAACTGGAACTTTTTTTAAAATGGCAGGGATTTAATTTTTGCTTGTTAATCACTGCTGTTAATTTGATAGTGGTACTGGTTGTCTAAGTATTGTTCAAGTATTATCAGCACAGCTGTAACAACTTTCCAGGATTTTCAAGGCTCTGTTAACAACTATCAGCTACTGAAGCCCTTTCATAACTGTAGTATTTGAGCAAGGATTACCATTGAAGCATCAACAACTTGTCCCTTTCCTGACTTGCCTCGTTCAAATAATGCCATCATAATGCCAAGGCTGCACATTAGCCCACCGCCACCAAAATCAGCCAGAATGTTTAATGGTGGCGTAGGCTTATCACCATGACGACCAATCATTGACAGAGTTCCTGATATGCTTGCATAGTTGATATCATGACCAGCTCTAGCACTGAGAGGTCCTTGCTGGCCAAATCCTATCAATGTAGAAATTTCAATAATTAAGGGAGACTAGGTCATTATGGCATGTGTACAAAGGACATGCAATCAATCTCTTAGGCCAAATAAAAATAATAGTTGGTTTCAGGTTTCCGACCGACCTGTCCAAAATATGACCGACCATAAACATTTTATTGAGATTTCCCAGTAGAGATCATCTTTTCATAAATAACAGAACATATAAATAGTCATTAGACTCATCTGTCTACAAATTATTTTGTTTGCTTATAATTTAATCATATAATCATAATCTAGTCATGTTAATCATAGTTTTACACAAAGAACAATTGAATAAAATATTAAAAACATACATTATTCTGACATGGCAGCTACGGCTGAAAAAAGACAAAAACGCTTTGATGCGTTTGTTTCTTGCGAAACACATGTAGCTCGCGCCTCGCGGGTGATCCCTTTATTATATACTTGAGATAAAATTTTTTTAAATAAAACGTTTTTCTGACCTACCCTACCCATACAAAAAATGGCTGTGAAACCTGAAACCAACTATTATATATATTATATTTGCTTTATAAAGCAGTGCTGGGCACTACACACATAAAAACATACAAGTTGTAAGTTGTAACAAACCTGCAGCAGATGTAGCAATGCTATATCCAATATTGTGAAAAGAAGTTGTTTATTGTGTATTGTTTACAATGTGTGTATTATTTATTGAACGTTCTCTGACTTAATATTTACGCATCCTCTATTTTTTCAATGTGTGTATTGTATAAACTTAGCATCATGTACAAATAAATGACCTTACACAAATATAACATTTTACTTGAGGACCTCTTTTTGGAATGTTATGTGACATCATAATGTGACATGAAATGATGTCATAATATGACAATTCATCAAACTTTAGTTCAATTTGCAATTTTTGCTGCGATTTTAGGTGCGATTTTCTTCTCCTGATTTATGTGTATGAGTGGATGTTTGGATGAGGGTACATAAATACTCAGAGCATTCATAACTTATTTACTCGTTCACATCCATCAGAAGGTCGCACTAGAAATCACAGCAAAATTGCAAGTGTAAACGGGCCTTTATATTGTAAAAAAACTTCTTGTAATATTAAAGATGCTGTAAAGTCCGTAATGTAAACAAACGCTTTGTTGACATTTTGAACTCAGTGCTACAGTTGTAAAAAATATGATTAGATATATATTATACTGAATTTTTAACACTCTTCTGGTTCGCTATGCTTGTAAATGAATACAGACTAGAGATTCAATTCAGAAGGTTCGAAATATTAATAACATTCCAATGGTCGGGTCCCGACCGTCAGAATGTAGGCCTGCGCAGAACGTATGTGCAGAATGGACTTTACAGCATCTTTCATATAAAAAATCTTTAATATCCAAGCCTGCGTACACCCTCTACATTCCAATTTGGCCATTACCAACCCATAGTGGAAAGTTGGGCACTTTAACAGGAGATCTCCCGCGGCAGGCAAAGGTCAAAAACTGCTGATGTGGCAAAATCTTGCGGCAGAAAAACTGTAAAATTGATAGTGTGGCAGAATTCTGCAGCAGAAATATTTTAGAAAATACCTGCATCACAACTTGGGCGACACGTCAGTGGTGTGTTGTATCAACACATCTTAAGATGTATTCATTACCGTATTTACTCGTTTGAGCGCCGCCCCCGATTGAGCACTGCCCTTGAATGAGCGCCGCATTTGAGACCAAATTTTTTTAAAGAGTGCCGCCCCCGAATGAGCGTCGCACTAAACAGTGTAATAATTTTCCACCGTCAAAATGGGGACATTTAGTGACAAAGACATTCAAAACTTGTTTATTTTATAGTTAAAAGTTCTTGATATAATTCACAAATAAAAGATTTTTTTAAAGAGCGCCGCCCCCGATTGACCGCCGCCCTCGAATGAGCGCCGCATCTGAAGCTCTGAAAATTTAAAGAGCGCCGACGAGTAAATACGAGTAAATACGGTATTCGACAAAAAAGCTGTGTTGATTTTAATAGCACATCTTTTTTTAAGCGTGAAGACTTCAATGTTTACTGTTTAGTGATCAGCAGTATTGCTTGTAGTCTTGAATTTTTTACCTGCGGCAGCATATTTTTGGCATTGCGGCAGGATAGAATACATGGTCTTGTCAACTGCGGCAGTCTCCTGCGGCAGCCAAAGCGTACTTTCCACTATGGATACCAACCTGTTAATCTAGCATATATCAGCCTTGGGTTATCCTTCATCAATATTTCAGGTCCAAGTCCTAACTTTTCCATCACTCCAGGTCGGAACGGTTCAATGAGCACATCAGAATTCTGCGATAATCTTTTAACCACCTCAGCACCTTTTGCATTTCTCAAATCAATAGCCACAGACCGCTTTCCCCGGCCCAACCGGTCTAGTCCCCCAAAACCTGCTTGCTTTGCTCTGTCTATGCGAGTCACTGAAGCGCCGAAATCGGCAAGAATCATTCCAGCGTATGGGACAGGAGCTAGTCCGCTAAATTCAAGCACTTTCACTCCTTGGAGAGCGGCCATATTCATTATTGTTTTGACGTTTCGCTTATATAAATTTGCATGTGATAAAATTCAAAATGGCGGCTTTTAGACCAAAATCCGACCAAAATCCTTTGCAAGCCGAGGTTTAATTTAAAATATTCGCAAATTGCATTCAAGTAGCACGTGTTTCTTTCGAAAGAATATATATTAGCATAATGCGATACGGGACTAAAATAAAATCTACACACACAAGTTGTTACAGCTTTACAAGCAAGTTGTCACAAATGGTGTTGACACAAGCTGTCGACAAGTTGTGCTCGCATCAATGAATCGCACTGCGTCTTAATCCTACTGTTGTAACAAGTTTGGAACAAGCTGTTAACAACTTGTAACAAGCTTGACTGCTTAATGGCATTATCAGACTTGTTCTAATAAGTCTGATACAGTCATGATATATTAACAAGAATGTTACAAGGTTGACGACACAAGGTTGTAACAATATTGTTATATCATGACTGTATCGGACTTGTTGGAACAACCTTGCAATATAAAGTCAGATAATATCAACAAGGTTGTTACAAGTTGTTAACAGCTTGTTCCGAACTTGTTGACAACTTGGGGCAAGCAGTGCGAACACAACTTGTTGATGGCCTGTTGGCAGACTTGGCACTTGCTACAAGATGTGAGATTTTTACGCATGTGTACCACACACACATAAAAATCTTACAACTTGTCAACAAGGTGTGTTCGCAACAGGCTAATTGTAGCATGCGAGGTAGCAAGCTTGTCAACAAGTTGTAAAAGTTTTATCAAGTTGCTACAAAGTTGTAACTCACAACTTGTTAAAGCGCTTGCATGTTGTTGAGGATGGGCATGGCTTTTATTATTTAATTGAAAAGTCTTAAGCTAAATATTTATTTAGGTGATTTGTCTCAGACCACGTTCGCCGATTTCCACGTTAGCCGATATTATAAATGTTCTGTCATACCAATGAATGCAGTTAGAATTTGACAAATTTACTTGTTAATTAGAATTCCGAGAAAATTGAGTAACCATAAACCTTGGAGACAAAAGAGAATAGCATAAATTCCCTAACGTGTACATACTACACGCAAGTAGAAGTTTTCAAATTGCCACTCAAAATAAATCACTCCAGAACCTGTCATGAACGAGACAAGTACAACACGACCACCCGTTGGTGCACGTCGGTTGCTCGATTGATACGCGTGTTCGCCGTCAGCTATTAAAATATGGCAGTGATTAAGACAAACAATGAACCGCTGATAATCTTGTAATAATGGCCTTCACTACGTCGTGCGGTCACAGAACAGCTATAAAGATATACAAAGCGCAACGCTATAAATATGAAAATGGAATCCCGATAGCGCAAAACGTATCGTATATTATTGGACATTTGGACTGATGATTGAAATATAACACTCATCAGTCACATCAAGCGGAGAATAAATAGCGATATATAATTAACTAACTATGAATTTGAACCGTTTATTCGCGAACAATCGTTCGCTTTTTAGCAAACTTTTTGTATTACTAATCGGAGTGTACATTGGATTAACTATATCAAATTGGATACGGGGAACTTACGAATATTACCCGGCGAAACCGTGTGTTATGGTGCGACGAACTGAGGTCATACGTAATGATATTATATTCGGACGATCGCGGAAACTGTCCGACGAGATAGACACGAAACAATTACTTTTTGCCGGGATTATGACGGCTGAAAAGTTCCTTGATTCCAGGGCTTCTGTCGTATACAACACATGGGGGAAAACGGTGTCGGGAAAGATAGTATTTTTCGCTGGGAATGAAAGCGGGGCTTCCACGCATTCCCTGCCTGTTGTAACACTAAACGGTGTCGATGACAGCTATCCACCACAACGCAAGTCTCTGATGATGTTGAAATACATGTACGACAACTTTATCGATGATTACGAGTGGTTTATGAGGTGTGATGATGATGTTTACGTACGAACTGATAAACTAGAAGAGCTGTTACGAGGGTTTGATAGTTCCAAGGAGTTATTCATCGGGCAGGCGGGTCAAGGTCTTCCGAGCGAACGCGGCCAGTTGGGACTCGGACCAAATGATAACTTTTGTATGGGTGGTCCCGGAATAATAATGAGCAGAAGCGTTTTGAAAAAATTGGCGCCGCATTTAGAATATTGTTTGAAAAATTTGGTTTCCTCGCACGAAGATGTGGAAGTCGGAAGATGTGTCAGAAAACATGTAGGGGTCACCTGTACCTGGGCATTCGAGGTGAGCCTTTTTCATTTTTGACTCACGGATCTCACAGATGTTGCAAAGCAACATCTCACAAATGTTGCAAAGCAACATCTGTGAGTCTTTGTGACTCACGTCTTTGTGGTTACTTGAGTGTGGGGTGAGTGTGGGGCAGTTAAACAATGGGAAACGACCAGCCTGCTTTGCGCGCACTGTTTGCCTGCGAATCGGGCCTTTAAGAACCCGAAATCGGGCTAGAGCACGCGTTCGTTCAATCGATTTGGCAAATGAAGCACGACAAATCACAAATGGGTGAAATGGCAAAATTCGCACGGTGCCCGGTTTGCAAAAAGCAACTGAAAAATGCCCTAATTCTTTCTGTCACTTTCATTTGAACTTATCCGTGAGTCCGGCCTCAACGGCCCTTGATTTATGTTTCGTCTCGTGCTTAAACTAGTTTTGTATTATTATGACACTGCAAAGTACAATGCCCATTGAGCTATCGAGTCAACGGTCTTATCCAATTTAAGGGGCGATTATATATTACTTGGAGAGTTTTCATCCCGGGCTGTGTTCAGTGTGGATTATAACGTTTTTGTTCTGACAAATGTCCGATCAACAAGACTGTTGCTCGGACATTGGCAAAGAATGGTCGGCCAACTATTTCAACCATTTTTACGAAAAAATAAAACATCTTTTTGTAAGTAGTAAGTATTGGAAACGCTATAGACTTACTATCGAGATTCGGTCACTTGAGAGAGTATTTGCTAAAAGAGAAGCTCAATGACAATGTTTCCTCTGAATGCTTTTTTCAATTTTCATCCTAATATTTATTGATTGCATGGTACAGTAGGTATAGTATGCAAACAGTACTTTTTACATAAGCTACCTTCAATTTAAATGAACATTGTCTTTTTTATTTGATCGGTCAAAATGTCCGTGCAGAATGAAATTGATCGGCCATTCGGTGTTTTTGTTTGGCAAATAGCCGACTGCCGACCGTTATAATCTACACTGGCTGTGTTCCATCCCGGTTTCAGCCCGGCCTAAGGATAAAATCCTATTAAAACACAGCAGACGATTACATGACAGAAATTTCAGCTCGGGACGAGCTTCAGCCCGGGTTAAAGCTACCCGGGCTGAAGATTTCATTCCGGTTGACCTTAATAAGAATCGTCATGTAATCGACGGGAAATTTCAGCCCGGGTTGAAAAAACAGCGTTTAAACGCTTTAAACGTTTAAGTGGCTTTATTTCTATCTGTATTTCTAAATGCAAGCACAGTCTCGTAGAAGTCAAATGATAGACATGAACAAGTTTTTAAATTCTTCGAAGAAGCGGAATAGCTCCGTTTTGAAACTTGATCGTTTCCGTCCGGGTTGAAATTTCACCCCGGTTTGAACTGAAATCGCATTCCGGGCTGAAATTTGCCATGTAATATACAGAATTACAGACCAGTGCAGTCTAGGGACAGAAGTCGTGAATAGAGTGACGAGAGTACACATGTCTGAAATGCCACTATATTTTTTTTCAGATGCAATGGTTATTCTACCACAACCAGAGTAAAATGAATGCATTTCACTGGGATCTTGATACGAAAGCCGTGCAGAATGCGATCACGTTACATCCTATTAAAAACCCCGCGTACATGTATCGTATACACACGCACTTCTTGGCGCAAAAAATCCTCGCCTTGCAACAAAGTTCTACGATGAAATCGAACACTTTACGAAATCTCAAAAAACTTACCCAAGCCACCTTAAGCAGAACAGAAGTAACAAAATTGACAAGCAAGAAAGACTTGCATCATAAAGTCCCCTTGAATGTTACATTACATTGGGAACTGTTCAGCCCGAAAAAACTATACAGTATTTCATCCACTCCGACACTACCCATTCAATACTCTATCAAAAGAAGTGTCAATATAGTTCTACGCAAAGCCCTGGCAGACATAAACTTAGAGGCCCGAAAAGTTGTATTTCGCGAGCTACTGCTTTCAAGGGTCAACTTAGGGTACATTCGCTTGGCGCCTACGAAAGGGTTGCAGTATATTTTTGATTTTCGAATGATGATGCTTCAGCATATTGGATTTAATCGACGAAAACTGCCTATAAATGTACAATACCAAGCACATGTCCAACAATCGTTTGGAAACCTAATTTATACGTCTCGAAGAATAGATTTAGCCAAACTACCATTCGTGAATATAATTTTACCGTTAGCCGGCAGACTTGAAGCTTTTAAAAGATTCCTTGCGAATTTTGAAACAGCTGTTTTGATAACGAACGAAAAAGTTAAATTGCTTATAATGTATTTTCCAAACGTATCAAGTGATAAGGAACACAAAATAATTTTGGAAAGCTATAGAAAGATGTACAGCAACTTTGATGTCATATGGCAAACGGTGAAGGGACAGTTTTCTAGGGGAAAGGCACTACAACTTGGAGTCGCGCAATTTAGTGCTGATTCTCTGTTGTTTTTCTGTGATGTCGACCTGGCTTTTGATGTGGAATTTTTAAACCGATGTCGAGTGAACACAGTCAAACGAAAGCGGGTGTATTATCCTATGGTATTTAGTCAATTCAATCAGACCATTTCGCTTACTCAAAACCATCGTGAAAGTTTAGAACATATGAAAAGGGAAGGCGCTTTTAAACACGAGAACTTGCAAAGTGACCATGGGTTTTGGAGGAGGTATGGATTCGGCATAGTTTGTGTTTATGGCGAAGACGTTGCGAAAGTGGGAGGCTTCGATTTAACTATTAAGGGTTGGGGACTCGAGGATGTTAAACTGTACGAACAGTTTCTAGCCAACGGCAGATATGACATCGTACGAACTCCTGATCCAGGATTGGTTCATATATATCACATGTCCAGTTGCTCGCCTGACCTAGAGCCTCTTCGGTTACAATCGTGCAAGAATTCTGCCTTGTCTCAACTCGCAAACGCTGGATCGTTAGTTAATTATATGACTAAGAAAGGTTATTTATAATAATAAAAGTCTAAAATTCTTACATACAGTACATGCAGAATAACTAAGTCCTGGGCAAAGTAGGGGAAATTGAGATGTTTCCTCGAAACTAGGTTTTCAAATTTGGCCATTTGAGAGGACATTTGTCATTGGCAAGAAAAATTTACTTTGTCTCATTTGAAAAAGCTTTAAAATAATTCATAAAGAGCTTTTACAGCTCAGTTCATGCCTCGCTGATTTTTTAAATCAGTGAGCTGGCCGCCATGTTGGATTATTCAGGGGGTCGCGAAGATCTTTTATCTTGACAAGCCAGTCGGATCAATATGAGCCAAACATTCGTTCTATTTCAAACTTCGAATTGAATAGAAACATTTTAAATAACGTTTGATCATTACTCAGTCACTTAGAGGTTATTTTATAAGTCCTCAGAATTAGAGTTCACGAGGTGAATTAGGATTAATCCAAGATGGCGGGCAGCTCATCGCTTTCTTCAGTCAAAATTTTTTCTTACAGTTAAGCTTGATATAAAAAATATTCATTAAGATTTTGAACACATAATTTCGAACGTTTTTTAAAACGAGACAAACTAAATTTTTAGTTCCAACTGTCCTTGGAAATAGCAATGTTTCTATCTGACATTTCCCAACAAATTCGGAATCGTATTTTTGGGCAACGTGCTGGCGAATGTTTTAGATAAATGTTTCATGGTTTGCCACCTTTGCTTTGGCCAGGGCTTATAATCGCTGGATTTAATAAACATACAGTACGAGACGCATTGACATCGTGTTTTCTTCGCAGTTTCTATATATTTCATTTTATTTATTTTCTATGGAAACGAAGAAGACATTTTTTAAAAATGAAATTATTATAAAATTTTATATTTACGGCGTTTGAAATTATTCAGTTTTGATTTTGTTACACAGTACACAATTGTAAATTTCAGTGCTTCTGCTAATGATGCAATAGGTGATTCCAGCTGCAGACTAAATTTTGATCAAGGCAAGAATAACGAAATCCAACACCACAGCTAGAAAGATCGTCTTAGAATGAGTAAAATTGCAAAGATTGGTTGCTAAATGTTGTAAAATGAAGAAAATATAGCCCTGTGAAGTTCGCAAATTTTGTATATATTTGTATTACGCGCGGTAAAAATAACCACTTTCGGCTCAAAAATGCTTATTCTTCCCTGGCGTAATGCAAATTATATACAAAATTTGCGAACTTCACAGGGCTATATTTTTCTCATTTTGCAACAATTCGCAACCAACCTTTGCAATGTTACTCATTTTAAGATGCTCTTTCCAGCTATGGTAATGGATTCGTTCTTCTTGTCCAGATCAAAATTTAGTGTTTTGCTGGAATCAGCCATTCCAGATTTATTAAAAAACATCAAAAGTCTTGCATTCGTCATGAGCAAATTACTATGGCAACGAACAAAATCTCGTCAGCGACCACAGCTTCGGGTCATCGTCACGATGAAATTCCAAGAACTTAGCAACCGCCCATTCTTGAAAGGACCCGGTACCGATTGTCAACAAATGTTGCGCATGCGCGATAATCGAGAGCTCCACGAGCGAAACCGCGCCGCGATCAGGCGTTTGCCAGTCAGCGGATGGCTTGTAAACGACCGCGCCGATTCGTGTAATCAAATTAGAGTGGACGATTTTCAACGCACGAGTGTCAAGATTTTTGGTTTTCAAACCGCCAGCCCATGAACCAGAGCCGAAATCGGACATGTCTGTGGCGAAAAAAACTTTGCTGATGCCAAAATATTTTTTTGTGTTTTTGATAACATTTACCAAAAGCCGAAGACATTTTTTCAGTCGCGTCAAATTGTTTTGAATAACGACCTTTTCGCCGCGGACTTGGACGGCTACGTAGCCCGCTCCAGAGAGGCGAGTTTGTGTAAATATTTCGGCTTCGTTTAGGATGGCCAAACTCGGTTCGAGTAAGAAATGAATTTCTTTAGATGAGACTTTAACGTGTTTTTCGCCGAACGATGTGCGAGTTTTAAAACCGATGCCACGCCACGCAAAAATCCCCAAACATTTTATATCTTGGAGAATGCCTCGTTCTAACACGGACCATTCGGCTACTACAATCGGATCTACGCAAAATACTTTCAAACCGGGTGAGGAATACGGTTTCAGTAACTTACAATCCGTCCATCCGTTTTTCTTCGCTCTTCGACTAATTTCGTCGTATTGTCGAGTGGTTATACCGAATTTATTTTTCAAATATGATACGGCCTTGTCGTCTTCGTAAAGAAAATGCACGATGGCGTGAAATTGATCATTATTAACGGAGCATTCCGTGTCGAATTCATTTTCGGTGACAAAAGTTGAATAGCCGTTGGATTTGAGCAGGGCGTTCGTTTGCGTCACATTGTAGTATGTGCTAAACGGGTAGCCTGTATCGCCGAATACAGAGTCCTTGACTTTAGGTTCTACGACAAATCGACCTCCGAGTCTTGCTTGCGAAGCCAAGGCCATTAACACCCTGGTATTCATCGTGAGTTGCTCCCAGTAACGCTCGTATACATAAACATAACGCCTTGCCAACGGCTGTAACAGTTCAATTTTCGGCTCTAACACACTCACCCCGTGCTTGGCTTTTCTGTACACAATATCTAGGGTGTCAGTCGAATCCTTTTGACCTTTAGCGAGTTTAATAGTTTTGAATTCTATATTCAAAACTCGGCCTAAGGAATCGTTTACGAACGGCGATAATAGCTTTTGGATTTGAGTATCGACATCTTCCTTCTCAACTTTCTCCCTTTTTGGAACTTGTTTCACTTTTGTACTTACGTTCATAGGTTTGAAGCCATCCCTTTTCTTAATTTGGACATCTTTTGTCGTTGTCAAACGTTTTCCATTTTCTACTGTAACGTTTTTCGAAGGTAAGACTGTAGTCTCGCTGTCCGACTCTTGTTTGGTTCCTCCCGACCATACCGTTAATAATGATAGCTCAATCACAAGGATGGAGAAACTTATTAGAACTAAGAGCAGCCGAATTTTATCTCCATATTTCATAGAAAAAGCTGGCATCGTTGGGCTTTTCAACGAGTCGGGAAATCAATGGTTCCAAAGTCGACGGAGTGCTCAAAGTTATTTGTGCGAAGTCCTGTCATTAAAGTGGTTTTAATTGATCTTTTAGCATAATGGAATTTTTCACATTGATTCATTTGTGAGAAAATCAAACCATTAACATAAATTAGCTTTCGAAAGAATTTCTCATTAGTATTGTAAGCTCATGCAAAAATGAGGGGAAATCGATCAGATCTCACCTTGTGCTGGGTGGGATCTCAGTGGTATAAAATTTTCCATACAAAATTTTCCATATAAAATTTTCCAATTTCCCACCTGACCAGGATGGATTATTTCTTGTCGATTTTGACCTATATTGGTTTTAAGTATAGCGTATTTGGAAAGTATAAACAAGAAGAAAACGTTAATAGACCTAGGCAAACACCTTAAAATCGTAACACAACCATTGCAATCAACATGCAGTTTGTTCAATCACAACAGAAGATATTGGCGCCATGTTTTTCTATAGTTTTGTCTGACCGAGATGGGATATTTGATCTGGGATAAAAACAGTGAGACAAACTGAGACAAACGCAGAAATCTCACCCGACAATAAACAAGTCCTAAGAATGTTTTCTGGTTATTTCTGAAGAGGAAAGCATTGATTTGTTTGACGTTCTTGTTCAGCCACGCTGTTCTTCTCTAAATAGGTTTACAACATGATCAAATGAATAGTTCTTTTTGCCGTAGCCTTAGGTCATAAAATTAAACTGTTCCGCAAATGGAATTTTGATCTTAACTAGCCTAAACAAAAATTTCATCACAGCTTGAAAGAGCATCACAAAATTAGTAATATTCCAAAGTTTCGTTGCAAAATGTTGTAAAATGTGGATAATATAACCTTACGAAGTTTGTAATTTTCAGTCATTTTGTATTACGCAAAGAAGTGGTAACCATTTCCCGTTTGTAATCTAAAATGACTGAAAATTGCAAATTTCGCAAGGCTATATTATCCGCATTTTACAACATTTTGCAACGAAACTTTGGAATATTGCTAATTTTGTGATGCTCTTTCAAGCTGTGATGAAAGTTTTGTCTAGACTTGTTGAGTTCAAAATTTTGGTTAATTGGGGAATGGTCCATTACAAAAGTCGGACAAACACTGGCAGAAGCTAATTAGTTATACATAAAAACTGCTAGAACAATTTGTATACTCGAAACATTTTATTGCATACAACCGACCATTTACACTACAAAAGTATATTGCTTATAGTTATTTTCTCTCAATACTATAGATCTCTGAATAGAACAATAAAAATATTACTGAAAACTCTGATACTCAAGAACAGTAAACGCCTGTCATTGAAAGCATTTTTTTTTGGGGGGGGGGGAGGTGATTAAAGATGTAACCTCTTTTTTCCCCGCACAAATGCAGGGTTCGTAGTCTCCAAGACCAAAAAATTCAAAGATTTTTTCTGCCTAGTTTCCCGTCAAATCACATCCTAAAATGCGCATTTTCGTCGATATTTGCGAAAATCTTGATTCAATCAATCTATTTTATTAGCTAGGAAATCGTATAATCAATTCCTCACTAAGAATTTAAAGACTTTTAAAGACTTTCTTCGCTTTTTCACACAATTTAAAGACTTGTCAAAGACCTCAAAGACCTGCATTCCAATTTAAAGACTTTCAAGGATTTCAAAGACCACTACGAACCCTGAAATGGTCATGGAAACAAGGTCGTTGAAAATGGCTCAATCGATATACTGAAAAATATACTGCACACGAGGAAAATACAGTTAAGATAAACAAAACTATAAATTGAATAGGTACCCAACGAATAAAAAAAATTGTTTCCAAGCCACGTTTCTCAAAGGTGCTCAAACCAGGAAACATTCGTTTGTATTGTAAAAGCTCACTCACGGCAATAACAGAGTGGAGGTTCAATCTGAGCTTCCCTTGAGTGTCAGTGCTGTTTTCAATGAATAGCTGGAGTGTGAGTAGTCACATAGTAAGGTACGACACTAACCCTCCAGCTATTCAAAAACAGCATTGACACTCAAGGGAAGCTCAGATTGAACCTCCACTCTTTGAGTGTGAGTGAGCTTTAGAATACAGGCGATTGTTTCTCGAATGTGCGCAAACAAGAAAACATTGTCTCTCGGAGATGCGCAAACCAGGAAACATCGTTTCTCGGAGGTGCAAAATTTACATTTGAGAAAAAATGTTTCTTAATTTGTTAGGAAACAGTTTTATTTCCTGGGAAGCAAACGTTTCAGCAACAGAGAAGTACAAAAAAACATTTGAGGAAATTCGAATGTTTCCGCAACCGATGAATGTTAGCAGATTACTTTAAAAAGTACTTTCAATGACAAAGCTTTTTCTGCTTTGACTTGCCAAATATTTTAAAGGCCGTTAATTACCACCAGGAAGTTATGGTTTTAGTGTTTGTATGTGTGTCTGTCCGTGTGTTTGGATCGGATTAGACAATTTCGGATCGGATTGTATTTTAAACAATGACAATGGACCATTTGCATTATAGACTAAATTTTGATCTAAACAAAAATTTCATCACAGGTTGAAAGAGCATCACAAAATTAGTAATATTCCAAAGTTTCGTTGCGAAATGTTGTAAAATGCGGATAATATAGCCTTGCGAAATTTGCAATTTTCAGTCATTTTGTATTACAAACGGGAAATTGATGCCCCAACACCCGATTGGGCTGTCAATTTCCCGTGCGTAATATAAAATGACTGAAAAACGGCAAACTTCGCATGGCTATATTATCCGCATTTTACAACATTTCGCAACGAAACTTTGGAATATTACTAATTTTGTGATGCTCTTTCAAGCTGTAATGAAATTTTTGTCTAGATCAAAATTTAGTCTATAATGCAAATGGTCCATTGGCTAATGTTTAAAATCCGATCCGATGCACACCTTTGGCATCGACCGATTCAAAACTAACTAGTTGCTTTTATAACTCAAAATATATCTTTACTTTGAACACATAGTAATTAGCGACCATGAAGGTCGGTCATCATCGCGATGCTGTTCTAAGAATTTCGCTTTGATCCATTCCTGGAAAGAACCTGTTCCTATTGTTATCAAATGCTGCGCACGCGCAATAAGAGCCATCTCAACCAACGCAACTACGCCGCGATCAACATCGTCAGCGGCAGGCTTGTACTCGATACCACCGGTACTTGACATAAGAAAACTGTGAAGATCCTTTAAAGTGTTGTCGTTGTAAACCTCTCCCTTTAATGAACCTTTCCAAGAGCCAGAGCCAAAGTTGGACATGTCCGAAGCAATGAGAACATGAGTGATATCTGATAACTCTTTGAGCGTGCTCACAACTTCGGCCAAGAGACGCAGGCAACTTCGGAGTCGGTTAAGATTGTGTGGGATCACGACACGCTCTCCGCGGACTTGCACTGCAATATAACGACCGCGTATGGCGTTATTTTGAAACCTCTTTGCTTCCTTCAAAATGGACAAGGGCGGTTTGAGCGCGAATTGAATATCCCGAGATTTAATCTTAAATTCATTTTCGCCGAAGAACGTTCGAAATCCGCCACCGATTCCCCGCCAAGTGCCGATTGTTAAACACTTGGCGCCTTTGATGACATCTTTTTCAAGATTTTCCCATTTCGTGAACTTGCTGGGGTCAACGCAAAACTGTTTCGACTTTGAACTCTCTTTGATAAAATTCGTTAGAGCTGTACATTCGGTCCAGCCTTTTTTGCTTGCCTTAGAACTGATATCATTATACTCCTTGTTATTTAAATGCATCTTTCCTTTGGTAAAGTCGACACCTTTTTGAGGGTAGAGGAAGTGTATGGTCACGTGGCTGGCATTAGCCAATGAGCATGCGCTATCGTACTCGTTCCGATTGGCTAGGGTTGCGTAATCGCTTGAAGCTAAGATATTGTTGAAGTGATTTAGATCAAAATATATTCCCAAAGAATGGCCATGTAGGCCAAACCCGGAGTCCCTTACTCCAGGCTCTAGGACTTTTCTCCCCCCGATTTTAGCCTGGCCCGCCAAGCCGATTAACGCCCGCAAATTCATAGTCATTTGTTCCCAGTACCGCGAGTACACCCGCAGGTAACCCGTAGGCTTTTGTGCCGCCTGCTTTTTAGGGTCGAGCTTCGAGAAATCATTTTTTCTCGGGAACGAAGCTTTGGCATAATTAAAATTGATTTCTTCGTCAACAGAATATTCTATCGAAATCTGCCCGCCAAAGCCCGCCTTCAGGTTGTTCGAGAATTGATCTGATGTACCTTTAAATTCGGTGAAAATTTTCAGTTTTCTGTGACTGTGAGTGGAAGCTTCTGCATTTATGTTTCGCTTTATATGACGTATCCTGAACGCTTCTCGTTTTGCTATTGGTTCGCGATAATGCCACGTGACCACGAAAGCAATTTGCGTTATCCCGAACACGACAAGGATGAGCGTAAATATTCGTGAGCGCTTCCACGACCTAAAATGAAATGGAGAAATGAGCGACCACAGAATAAAGACATACAGAAGTGTAACTTCCATTACAAAACCGTAAGGCGCTTTTTACCGAAATAGCTGGCGGCCATGTTCTTAGCAAGTGCCCTAAAGAGAGGCATTCACCCCCCTGGAATATTACATTTTCAATATATTTTCAGGGGGGTGACTGCCTCTCTTTAGGGCACTTGCTAAGAACATGGCGGACTGAAAAAATCCCTTACGCACTTTTAATAAGAAGATATACTTCTGTATGTCTTTATTCTGTGGAGCGACGTTACACCAATGAACTCCAAGTAGACCTGATGAAGTATCATCAAGTACTAGAAAACAATGCATTTTTGAAAGCTTGGCTGAGTATAACTCTATAATAGACAACTTGCATGTTAGACTAATTTTTGATTTAGGTAAAAAAAGTAAATTCCCGTAAAGAATCTATTAAAATCAGTAAGATTGCAAAATTTGGTTGCGAAATGTTGTAAAATGCAGAAAATATAGCCTTGCGAAGTTTGCATATTTTCAGTATGTTTGTACTACGTGCGGAAATTGTTACCATTTTTGAGCCGAAAATGGCAACAATTTCGGCAATTGATAAAACTAGAATAGTGAAGCGAATAGTGCGAATAGTCGACGAATAGTGCGAATAGTCGACGAATAGTGCGAATAGTCGACGAATAGTGCGAATAGTCCGCGAATAGTCGACGAATAGTGGGAAAGTTTCAACCGTAGAAATAACTTAATTTATATTAGTGGCCACCAAACCAAAAAAACGCCCTTACTCTCTTCTCTACCGAATTTATTTGTTTCTAATTCAAGATCGCTGATCAGCAAGATTGACGAACTGTCTGCTACAGTAAAATCCTATACATCAGACATTGTCGTTGTTACCGAAACGTGGCTTTCTTCAAATGTTCCTAATTCAGCAATAGATTTATGCGGTTATTCGTTACTGAGGCATGATCGTTCTGACGGCAGACGAGGAGGTGGAGTCTGTGTCTTTGTAAAGGACATGCTTCCGTTCATTCATCTTAAAGAGATTGAAAGTCACGAATATGAGTCGCTTTGGTTACTCTTAAAACCTCACCGCTTGCCTCGTGGTTTAAATTCAATTGTATTGGGAATCGTGTACCATCCACCTGGAAGTGACGATAAAGCTCTTCTTTCACACCTTACCGAATCAATCGATTCTGTCCTTTCCACCAATCCCGGTGCAGGAATTATTTTGGCCGGAGATTTTAACCAATTTAAACATCGCCAGTTATGCAGTTCCTTTAACCTCAAACAGTTAGTCAAAGACGCTACTAGAGGAAAGAATATTTTAGATAAAGTATTTACCAACATTTCTAAATTTTATAATTCTGCCCTGGTAATTTCTCCAATTGGACATTCCGATCATAATTCCATCGTTCTTAAACCTCTTCCAGCTAACTCTTATGGTGGCACAAGGTCTACACGTTTAGTACGAGACTCTCGCCCAACCAATCGTCGAATTGTTAGCGATCATCTGTCGAAAGTTAATTGGTTACCTTTGCACCATATGGAATCTTGTGACGAGCAGTTCCAGTATTTTTCCACCATCGTTGATAATATCATAAACGAACATTTGCCTTGGAAACAAATCAAAATTGATTCTAGTGACAAGCCTTGGATTACTTCCGAAATAAAATCTCTTATTTCCAAGCGGCAAACAGCATGGGCGGCTGGCAATAACCTGATGTTCAGATTCTATCGAAACAAAGTCAATGCACTTTGCAAAAAAGCACGACTAAATTACTACAATAAAAGTATCGCGGGCGTTCAACAGTCCGATTCTCGTAAATGGTGGTCAGCGGTGAAGAATATTGCCGGTCTTCAGTCTTCTAAGAATGTATCTACAATGATGTTCCAAGGTAAATCCTACTCTGATGCCGATTTAGCAAATTTGCTCAACGACAAGTTCGTTGCTGTAGGGTCCTCCTTACCCAATCTAAACTGGCTCCCCCTTCCCACAAATGACATTCCAGATGATTTCTGCATCTCTGTCGAGGAGACTGAAAAGGCCCTATTATCATCTAAACTTCATTCATCTGCTGGTCCCGATGAAATTCCTTCTTGGCTTCTCCGGGAAAATGCTTCAGTGTTGTGTCGACCTTTGTGTTCTATTTTTAATTCATCAGTTCGTGAAGGATTTGTTCCCTCAATATGGAAGGCAGCAAATATTACACCAGTTCAAAAATCTTCGCCTCCTAAAGATGTTGATTCTGACTTCAGACCAATCTCCCTCACACCAATTATCAGCAAGATTCTTGAATCCTTTCCCTACAAATGGCTACTTGACTCCGTCTCAAAAAAAATTGATTCCTTGCAATTTGGTTCGCTGAAGGGTTCAAGCACTAGTATGGCATTAATCTACATGCTACATAAATGGTTTGAAGCAGCTGACAAACAAGGCAACACTATACGGATTTGTTTACTTGATTTTGCCAAGGCGTTTGATAGATTAGATCATAACATTCTGTTGGAAAAATTGAAAGACATGGAAATTCATCCCGTGTTACTCAACTGGATCGCAAACTTCCTAACAGGCAGACAACAAAGAACCCGTGTTGGTCAGTTCTTTTCTGAGTGGAAGTTTTTAAACGCCGGCGTCCCACAAGGAACGAAGCTTGGCCCGCTATTATTTTTGATCATGATAAATGACTTGGCTGTAGTGGATGAAACTGTTAAATTTGTCGATGATACTAGCCTTTGGGAAATAATATCAAACAATTCCCCTTCCCAGTTACCCGCTAACATCATTAGCTGCTCTGAATGGTCATCAGACAATAATATGAAGTTAAATGTATCAAAGACCAAAGAATTGCGTGTCTGCTTTTCTAAGCTTACCCCATCGTTTGCCCCTATTACCATTCGCGGTCAAGAGGTCGACGTCGTTTCCGAGGCCAAACTATTGGGCGTTGTCCTTTCGGACGACCTCAAATGGAACTGCCATATTGACTACATTTGCAAGAAAGCCGCGAAGCGTTTGTACGGTCTGCGCCTTCTTAAAAGAAATGCTTTACCTTCTCATATTCTGATCTCAACCTATTGTACACATATTCGACCAATTGTCGAATATGCTTGTCAGGTGTGGCATTATGGCCTTCCTCATTACCTGAGTGAACAAGTTGAAAAAATACAAAAAAGGGCATTAAAAATTATTTTCCCTGGAACCATCTATGCTGAATGTTTGCTTAAAGCTAACTTGATGACTCTCTACGAACGTAGAACTGTCCATTGCAAGCGACTTTTTTCGAAGATGTTGGAACCCACTCATAAACTGAATGCCTTAGTACCGCCTAAAAGTCTTCAAACTTATAATCTGAGGTCTTATCCCAACTTATTAGTACCTAGGTGTAGAACTGAACGTTTTTCGAACAGTTTCATTCCTGCTGCATCTCGTGCTTATAATAATAAGTAAACTTTAGATTATTATCGTTATTTTTATCTAACTTACCTATTTTTACCTGTAAATATAGAATAGATTAAATACCTATGTTCTTATACCCTGTAATTCCAAAGTAATTCAGTTGTTACTGCTAGTTTGGAAATTTATAATAATAATAATAATAATAACTCATTATCTATGTTAGTCAACGTTTATTGCTGCCGAGCACCAGCGAGGCAGCACACTATTCTCGACGCACGTTGTTTCGTTACCAGTCCCCGCGCCCCGAGTTTAGTAGTCTTGTGGCTTGAATCTCGTTCGTCGAGTTGTATGTCCGCATCCAAGGGGGTTACGGAAATTAATGAAGTGTCAAGGGGGGGGGGTTGTCTATCATCGTTGAAACCGCAATATGCGATTATAAATATAAATCAGGTACGAATGGCTTTATTTCTTTCTGGTGACATACATGAAGGCAATAGATCTGCTGTTTTAGTGTTCGATAGTACAGCTAGGTATTGAAACAATATCATGATATTTCAAAAATATAACTAACGATGTGTCGTTTATCAATCTCCATTTACTGTGTAAGAAACAAAATAGAAATGACATCGTCAACGTAATCAGGCTTATTAAAATAAGATTCCTATAGCAACCCAGTGTGGATTGTTGTCTGCATATTTTATAGCAATGAGCTCATTCTAGACGTTTATAGCAATGTGCACTGTCACTGATCTATTCGTCAATAGTCTTAATTATAATACAACGAGTAAAAATGTAATAGCATGTTATCGAGATGATTTTGCCTTATGAACCATTGAACTTATAATATATGGAAATGCTAGTAAAGATAATTGTTATTGTTAATGTTATTGTATTAGGCAAATGAGAACCATACAATAAATGTTTTATTTCTTGTTGGTATTTTGAACGCACGCTTTATTTCATGAATATTGCTATAAAACAAAGCAAAAAGAACGAACACGGAAAATTACTTGCGCGAATTTAAAGCTGTGCGAATACGTCTCAACAAGGTGCGCGAAATTAAATCGCGCGAATTTAAAGCTAGCGAAAATGAGTTAAACGACGCGAATATTTGATACAAGTATAAAGGTCCATATGGTATCATATTTCATAGTAACGAACAATGTAAAATAGCCATACATTTCGTGGGCCTGCGTAGCAGGCGCTATTTAGGGGGGAGGGCGAGGGTGGGAAAAAACATAACTTTGGCCCCTTTGGACATATCTTTTTCGTAATAGTCTTGTTCGAACCGGAATCCACAACATTATTTAGAGTGTTATTTTCAAGTTTGTGTCTTCAGATTTTCACCTTTTATTTCGGTACTTACAGAAATAAATAAATAGTATTTATATTTTTAGCACGGCCCGTGAAACGTTCTCAAAACAAAGCGCTGTTTACATCCTGGCCCTAAGGGTTTGGAAAAACCGGAAATCGATTCTACAAGTCAAAGTACTCCCAGTATTGCAGTGGCATGGTTTACACGTGCATCGGGCTACATATAGCCAAGCATACACCTGGCGCGTGCGTGCGTGCGTGCGAGTAAAACCCCGATATTTTGAAAAAATTCAAAATAAATATTTCTATTCTGTGCCGTATTCAAATGAAACTTTCTACATGAAAGCGCTTGAATAAAAGGAGTATTTTACTCACATTGAC